GAAGATATATTAAGTTTTTCATTTGTCATGCTTCATCCTCAAGGTTCTATAAATAGTTAGCATAACTGTCGCATATCAATCGCATAACTGTTGAATATTCATTCTAAAAAGTACGAAGAGTTATGCAAATGCTTTCGCACCACATAATATTTTTATGTTATATAATTGTCGCATAATACTTTCACACTTTCAAATGTGAAAAAGTTAGCTTATAATTCAACGTCAAATAATTATTGAATATAAATGGTGAAAAAATTATTCATAATCTGGAGACAATTATTATACAATGCTTTGCATTTTCAAAGTTAGAAAAATTAATTTATAATCTGGTGTGAAAAACTTATTGAGTTACATTGTAAATAAATAATTCTTTTTTTTTTTAGTTAAACTAGGCGAACTTGTGAGCCCGCTAGGTTAATCATATCTTACGATTCACCATCAGGAAGAACCAACAAAGTTGAAAACCGGTGCGGGTCTATTTCACCCAGCGAGGCAAAAAGAATCGATTTGAATCCGTTTACAAGTTCAGCACTCGTCCGCTCTAAAATAAACCCCTGCAAAAGCCCTAATTAACAAACTCATCATCCTTCCAAACCCGTCTTCAACCTCAACAACTTTCCTCAACTATCAAGCTCCATCAGAAACCAAAAATGGGGAAAATCCCGGCGTCCTTCAGAAGGTCAACTTCTCAATCCCCGGTAACCACCCTTCTCAAACACAACACCTCTCCATCTCCACAGGAACAAATCCCAACCCCAATTCCAATTCCGCGGACCCAGAAAAATTCCCCCAAAAGAAATCCCGTCAACATTAACAATGTCGCACCACCGAAAACAAACGCCCCATCAATCACCTTCGAGTCCCCAAATCTCTCGGACGCGAAATCCCTCTTCAACTCTTTCATTTCCTCCGCCAAGAACGTCCCATCCGACCCTAACTTCTACAACTCTATCCTCCGGTCGTTCTCCGACGTCTCTTCCCTCCAGGACTCGATCCTCTTCCTCGACCACATGGCCAAGAAGCATGCTCCCTTTTGCCCTACCCGCTCCACGTATCACGTCCTCTTAACCCAATCCTGCTCGGCCCAGGAAGCCCCATCCCTCTCAGACGTGCACCGCGTGCTCAACCTCATGAACAATGGCGGATTCCCGCCCAATCAGGCTTCGGCAGATCTTGCTGTACGATCCCTCTGTGGCTGCGGCCGTGAAGAGCATGCAATCGAGCTTGTCAAGGAACTATGCTCTAAGAATTCGCCACCCGACCTGCACACATACAATTTTCTGGTGAGACACCTGGTAAAAAACCGATCTTTGAGCACTGTGAATTGCTTCATAAAGGATATGAGAGAGTTTGGCATAAAGCCGGACCTCGTGACGTATACTATCATGATCGATAACGTATGCAACACTAAGAACTTAAGAGAGGCCACGCGGCTGCTTGGTGTGCTGAGCGAGGAAGGGTACAAGCCGGACTGCTATGTGTACAACACGATTATGAAAGGTTATGTTATGTTGAGTCAGGCTGGTGAGGTAATGGGGGTGTATAAGAAGATGCAGAATGAGGGGGTCGAGCCCGATCGTTACACTTATAATACTTTGATATTTGGGTTGTCGAAATCGGGTAGAGTTTTGGAGGCCAAGAAGTTTTTGGAGGTTATGGCCGAAAAAGGACATTTGCCTGATGCAGTTACTTATACTTCGTTGATGAACGGAATGTGTAGGGAAGGAGATGCATTGGGGGCACTGGGATTGTTGAGCCAGATGAAGGAGAGAGGGATTGAGCCGAACTCATGTACGTATAATACTTTGCTTATTGGGCTGTGTAAGGCCAAGTTGTTGGATAAGGGAGTAGAGTTGTATCAAGTGATGAAGAGATGTGATATAAAGCTGGAGAATGGGGCATATGGGACATTTTTGAGGGCCTTGTGTAGGAAGGGTAGGGTTGCTGAAGCTTATGATGTTTTTGACTATGTGGTCGAGAGCAAGAGCTTCTCGGATGTTGCAGCTTATTCAACTTTGGTAGGTACACTCAAGTGGCTGAGGAAAGCTAGAGAGCAAGGACTTGTCATTTGAGCTGAATGGGCTTTGGTGAGTCACTTATTTCTTGGACTTTCCAAAGTAAGTTGTTTTGGTTCATTGGTGATTTTTTGCTACACAGATTTGCATTCTGTCTTTGTTAGTCTCAGTTTTTTTCTGAATCTCTAAAATGGATGTTACAAGCTCTAACAATGGTTTGGTGAGAATTTTGAGTTACAAAAGCAGTTGCAGTGTAGCGTGAACTGATTGTATCTTGTAAGTTTATTTTGATATGGAATATTGTGAGGCAGTTCTTTATTTTAATTGATTGTGCTTATGGCATCACGTTGAATTCTTACTGATTTAGCAGTTTGTATTGAAATCCGTTGGTTGCTCATTTGCAACGGAAAACAAATTTTGAATTTCCCTTTCTCTTCACACCCGTAGTTTATTCACAACTTTAAAATTTAGAGAGCTTTCAATAACAAACTTCCGTTTAAAAAGTTTTCAACTGCTTTTATGATGCTTCAATTCTGAAACTATATTTGTATTTTGGATTGCATTATTCAGTGTTGAAATATGGAACTACAAGTGGCATACATTTGGTTTATAGCATCTTCTGAAATGTAGTGAACAGTTTCTCAAGGGGGATATCAGCATAGATTTTATCTCATACCTCTAATTCTTTTAACCCTTATAGTTGATGTAAAGGTCAAAGACTCTTCTTCTATTCAGTTACAATATTCCAAATTTCTCTTCAAACTTAATACAATGTCATCCCTTGTCCATCCTTAACAAGTCAGAATTTGAATCTTGATTGTGCACAATGGTCAATATTAGGGTGAATCATTTTTTGTTGGAGCCATGTATTTTATTGTTTCTGGTGTCGATGTCGTATCTGATTATGACGTCTGTTTTAGTTATTCCCGTGGCCTTTTAAGATTTTATATCAATGGATTCGAGTAGCCTAACTTACCATTTGATATATAGATATTTATTTTTTTCTTGTGCTGGGTTTTCCTGCCATATTTTTCTCATGAGTTGCATTATCTAGGATTCACGATTTGCCAAATTTGACCGCTTGGACCAAAAAAATCCTGAACTTAAAATCTTCTGCAAACTGTGTTGAAGTTCAAACTTTGTAAGTGAGTACAATGCAAGTATCATCCGTAATTTCGGAAATTCTGAAATGTGTGTAGAATTGAGATTTGTATTATTCAGTGTGCCGTCGCCTAAAAATATCCGTCCATTAGAGGCTCTAAAGATTTTTTTTTTTGGTAGTTTCATTCTTGTGCTTTAGCCTTTATGGCTACTAGCTAATTACTTACAGTCTATAGCCAAAGGATTCAACCCTAACAGTTAGATTGAAAGCACACATATCGATGGCTCAGACTCCTGCTCACACCGGGTGAAATTCACCAGCTATATCCATCAATTCTTGATCTCGTAGTTTCTATAACTTTTTACTAGTTTTCTTTCTTTCTAATAAAATAAAAATAAAAATAATAATTTATTGGTGACAAAGAAGAAAAGGCCTATACTCTTTTGCAATATTGAATTTGATATATTTTGAGAGCTATTGCGCAAGTCGCTCGTGAGTTCGGCTCGTTAAGACTTTTGATATATACTGAGAGTTGTTACACGAAATGAGCCGCTCGTGAGTTCAGTTTAGCTCGTTTGATGAACAAGTTAAAGCTTGTTTCGTTAATAAGTTGGGATCTGCGATAAGACTAAAAAAGATAATTGTTATATAATTTGCTTTAGTTCAACTCGTCAAAGCTTGAGATCATTTCAGCTCGGCTCGTTAAGGGCTAGAGCACTCTGAGCTCGAGCTCGGCTCGTTTACAACTATTTCGGAACATTAAATTCACGTTGAATTTAATGTCTTTGTCCAGAAAAATCTTATATTTCTTGTTTCCATCTTTTATTTTTTCCTCCTAAAATCGTCTGAATATTTTTCCTATTTATGGAGACATGAAACAAAAAAATACTGTTTGTTTACTCTGGTGCTGCATATGATACAACCACCCGCCGCCCGATTCCATTCCCATTCTTCAATAGTAGCGCTGTAATTCAGAATTCTTATATGTAGCAATTCCCAAGAACGAGAAAGAATTGAAAATCCCGTGGCATATATATTCCAAGTGTTTCCTTGTCCACCCAACAAACTACCTTGCCAACTCATTTCAATTCCACTGAATGTAAAATTATTCTTGCATGTCTCCAAATCTTTTATTGCATTGGTTATTTTTTTGTGAAATATTCAATATTGATGCATTCTTATACACAGTAACCTCCTTACATATAATTTTCATAGGGATATTCATTGGTTTTTAGGTACAAGAAAAGTCGATTCAAGGTTTTGCATAACAATATAGATAGAATTTACATAATAAAAATGTTGTAAATTAATAAGCTCTCACACTTTTGTCTGCAGTTCACTATATTTTTTTTCTTGCTAAAATAGTCTGCAGTTACTGTAATTAGCTCTAATTAATATTACCTGAGGGGATTGTCTGCTCTTAAGCAGCCATTAGTGTACAAAGTCCTTTTGTCTGCTCCTAATTAAGCAGCCATTAGGGCACCAGGTCCGGTAATAGATTATTGCCCGCCCTTTAAATTGACCCAATGAATCCTATATGATTGTGGAGGCAGAGAGACAAGAAGAGAATTTTGTCCACTCTATTGTCAATGTTCAATGCATTTGCACGGGCTGCCACTCTTCATTAAAGATCAAAACTTGTCCCCCAATTTGCCTTTATTTTTTGTTGAAAAAACACATATTTTTGATGGCCATGATACCGACCAAGTTTTTTAAAAAGAATATCAAGGACAGCCACATTGTCTGCACATGCAGAATCATCCCCTCAGAGAAATTGTCTCACTATAAATACCATCCTCAAATTTTCTCCATTCTCCATCTCAATTTTCAAAACAAAGCATCTTTTGTTCTTTAGCCTCCCAAAACCCAAAAAGGAAAAAAATATGGCTGCTTCACAATCACAAATTAACTTCAGATCCATTAGCCTTCCTTCAAGGCTACACCCCATAAACTCCACAGAATTTGAATCCAAGCTACAAAAGCTCAACTCTTGCACTTCCAAAAATGCCCCCATCACCTCAGAGACCATTCGATCCGGCCTTTTGGGCCTTGCCGAACTTTACAACTCGATCGACAAACTCACACAACAAAACAAAGATCCAAAATCGATACACTACTCGCTAGAAAGCTCGGTTCACTTGCTCGATTCTTGCAACACCATTAGAGAGTTGGTTCAAATGATTCGAGAAAGCACACGAGCCCTCCAATCTGCATTGCGCCGCAAGGGTCTTGTGGGTCCCGTCATGCAAGACGACGTAAATTCGTATTTTTGTTCAAGAAAGAAGATGAACAAGTGCATAGACAAGGGCCTCAAGGCACTCAAGAGTTTGGAAAATAAAAACGGATCAAATGATGTGTCGATGAGCGATTGGGCGACGATCAACGTCTTCAAGAGCACTTTGGTTTTCTTGTCAATGCCGGCGGGAAAATCGTGCGGCTGGAATTTGATCTCCAGGCTGATGATTGCAAAATCTATGGACAGGGAAAATAACCTAGGTGTTATTAGTGAGGTTGGGTTAGTAGATAGTGTGTTGTGTGGGCTTAGAAATGGGGATTCGAAGGCTATTGATGTGAAAATGGTGCAGAAGAGTTTACAATATCTTGATGATTGTGTTGAAGGGATTGAGGCAGCTCTGGAGAGATTGTTTAGGCAATTGTTGCAAAATAGAGTCACCCTTCTTAACATTGTTACAAATCTTTGAGATTATATACATGAAGTCTGTAAACAGGGTTTTTGGGAACCAGAAATTCTGTATTGTATGATGTATTGACATAGTACTACACAGTTATTATATTCATTCGAAAATTAATTGTCCAAATTTTTGTCTTTCTTTTCTTCTTTTCTATATTTTAATTTCTTCTCTAAGGTTTAATGAAATAACATTTGTCTAACCTAATAACCTCGACATGATTCAGCAATTTGGCAAGTATAAGTTATATTGATTGGCTCTACGTCACGTGAACTGGCTTCCTGCTTCCGACACTCAAGTCATTTACGTACAACACAAAGAGTTCTCAGTGCCATTGCCCACGTCAGAACAATGAGAAGGTGATTAGGTTTTAAACATAATTGCCGGAGGCTTTTTACATAGAAATAGATGACGTCTTCTCCAAGCCTTCGGATTATGACTAATATCTCACCAAGTGTGGGTGAGATTTCTCCAAGATACGCACGGATCCACTATTCTTGTTATACTCAAGAATCAAGAAGTCTCGTTCATACAAAACTATATGCCTCTATAGGATCGATCATCTCGACTGATGGTGATCTATTCGTTATTTAAACATTTTGGGAGAGCATGTAGAGTACGCAAAATGTGTTCAAAGACATAAATTAAAAATAGAAGTAACAAATAAACAAAATGTCTTGGGAAAGCGTCCTACTATCTCTCTTAGAGCTCTTTCATTAGTAAATCGGTTGCGCGCACATTGTATAGTTTGGACTTACAAGAATAGGACTCTCTCCTAATCCTACCAACACTATACCTGAAACTACTAACTACTTCCTTGGCCATAACGCGGACTTCAAAATAGCTATCCAGATCCCTCATAGCCCGCAAAGTACTTAATTATCTAAATACCCAATGAGTTTTTGAGTAAAGAACAAGAAGAACTCTATAGTGATGGAGTGATGTAAGAACACAAAATTGAATCGCTAGAAATCTAAACAAAGAACAATGCAAAGTAAAACTCACGAACTCTCAAAGACACTCTTGAACATGAAACTCAATAGTAAACTAAATTGTAGCAACCATATCTCTTGGTCCTTGTGTATGCATACATACAAACTCCAAAATGGTAAGAAGTCTTCACATTGCAATGTCTTAGACATCCTTGCATGTGGAATAGAATTCCTTCCAAATTGGTTCAGCTTCTTCGAATTTAGATCTCCATAATCTTTTTCCAATATTTGCGCAAGAACATTGTTTACCAGTTTTATAGATACTTCAAATCTTGTCCAAGATATTCAATATGTCGATCTCGATCTTGTCCAAGTTAAATATGAAATCCTCAAACATAATCGGTAGGGATGTTAATAAAACCCGCAGGGTCGGGTTACCCGCATTTTTGGGTCAGGTAAACCCGGTATAATCGGGTTTCGGGTTGGGTTCGGGTAGAATCATGCTACCCGAACACCGGGTCAGGTCGGGTTCGGGTTCGGGTATTGTATAAAAACCCATTACCCGACCCGATTACCTTACCCGTTTACCTGCAACATTGAATCACACACACACACACACACACACACACACACTCACACACACATATATATGTATATATATGTCATATGATAAATATAAATTTAATTATTTATTATAATTTTGGTTAATGGTTTAAATATTATTTTATTTTTCTGATTTTTTTTTATCAAATTTTCTTTTAGTTGTACAATATAAAATTTAAATATTTAATTTTTAAATGTTATATTATTAACCAGACTATAAAAAATAAATAATTATATCTCAATATTTATTCCAAATACAATATAGAATTTTTTTATAGTCATTTTATTGTCAACTTAGTTAATATATTGTTAGTTACATTATATTTAATTGTGAAATTATTTTACTTATTTTTTATACATGAAACGGGTCGGGTTGAAATGGGACCGGATAAAACCCCAATCTAAGAAATCGAGTTACCCGTTTACCCGATGAAGACCCGATAACCCGTTCGGTAAAACCCAACCAGAACCCGAAGTTCACTAACCGGGTAACGGGTCGGGTAAATTGCATGCGGGTCGGGTTTGAGTTTGCCAAAACCCGCAACCCGAACCCGACCCGTTTACATCCCTAATAATCGGCTTCTTCTTCCTTTAAGTGCACGGCTCAACTTTTACCTACAAGAAATAGAAAACATATTATGGCAATATTGACAACGCGATAAATTTAAATTTATAAAGTTTTCCTCAACAAACCTCTACTAACTAGTAATAGCGGCGAGTAAGGGTCGATTCCATTAGGAGCAGGAATTAAATTGTGGCAATCTCGTATTATTTGAATTAAACTACAAAAGCAATAAAAAGAGAGATTGTTTTTATAAAAATAAAAATAGAAGTCATAAATGAGAAAAGTCCAATTTTCGGTTTAGTTATTACCCAATCTAAATATACCGTTAATTAATTGTGACGCTTTCTTTAAATTGCTAATGAATTACCAACCCTAACTAACAACAAGCTCTGTTAACCGAATTCTCCCTTACCGAATATTTAATTGAAATAAGCTCTTCGACTAAACTAACTAGTAGACAACCTAGAATAATGTCACGTCCCGCTTCACCGCACGCATCTTTTGAGAAATAAGGGCGTGACAATAAGCTCTCTAGATTTAATTCACCAACAACATTAATTCATAGGAAAATAGATCAGTCTAAGAAACGGACGCAAAAGCTCGGACCGTTTAACTTATGTTCACGCTACCCTAGTGATGCACGACCCCTATAGTTTACTAGTAACGAAACAAGAATAATAACAATTACGGATTAAAGCCTCGTCTCTAGCAAGAACATTCATTCAACTTAGCTGGCCGAACTAAATCAAACACCATAATTCATAAACATTATACACAGATAACATGAATCAACTCATGAACAAAAAATAAATACGGCGTCTAGATTAATCAATAATAAATAAAGATAATTCAATTTATACACAAATCGAAATTAGGGTTTTGTCTGTTTTCTATCCGTGCGCTCTTTTTTATGCTCCTTTTGCTTTTGTCTGTTTTTCTCCCCTTTCTTCCGTCTCCGTGCGTTTTACTCTTCTTGGGCTTTTTATTTCCGGGACAAATAATTCCTCTCCAAAATTCAAGTCCACCCAAACTTGTTCTCATTTTCCAGCCACCCCAGACACTCCCCATGACTAAAAGTCTCCACCACTAAACAATTCTTCATTGCCCAAATGCTGACCCATTCATGGTCCAACTAGCTCAAATTGTTGGGCCAAGTTAAATATGTAAACTTAGCCCAAATGAAGCTTTCAACAAATTATAATCATAGCCTTAATTAGTTTGGAATTTGGATCCTTGATAATCTATCGCGTCAACTTCTTTCCATTGCTTCACGTTTATGAAATACTCCAAACTCCTAAAAAATAATATATAAAACATCAAAACAAATAAATCTATCCAAATAATAAATAAGTCAACAAATATAAACGTGTGAATAAATTAAATATATATAAATACACTATTAAATATATAAAACGCGCGCATTTTTCGACCTATGATCTCATCACACATTTGATTTGTATGGTATATATAAGTGCCCTCATCACAGGGGGGTCGTATGAGATATCATGGACATATATAGTTTTTGCGGTTTTCATTTCAGATTCCACTTTCAACGATTTTTCTGGCATTTTTCTGTAACAACTAACAAAAAATATAAATAAATAAAAATATACCTCCATCATAGTTAAATGAAAATCTATCAAACATGCAGAATCCGAAACAAAATTATATCCAGACCTATAAAGGAACAACTCTCGTCACTCTATTTGAGTATGGTTGAATCTTCCTAAAATCTTATCTCGGCCAAAAGTATACTACATGACTTATCCTTGTTCGTCTTCTTAGTAATCTTAATCATCAATTCATCAACTTTCTCGATCTATCATATCGAGCTAACTCCCGAGCAGGTAGTTATATCATATTTAACTATTAATAAAAAATAGTTAAGTTACGTTAAGAATTGAATGAGACATGGGAACTGATAACACGAGATGAATGAGCTAAATATAGAATGTAATAAAATCAAGAAAACTCCTGACATGAAAGAGTTGAGTCAATTGTCGGTTGTTTTGCTTGTACAGAAGAAGTTAAATAAAGTCCTATTTCTCTTTACAATATAGAAACTCCTTTACGCTTAGTTTATGAGCACAACTCACTAAAAATAAGCGAGAAATTATTTGGAAAGAAGAAAAATCGCATTCTAGTTAGTTTTATTTTAGATAATCGATCGTAACACAAGTAAATATAGAGGTACACAAAATAAGGTTATTTGTGGGCGTAATTAAACATATTTCTATATCACTGACCATTTTAACTTGAACGTCTAAACTTCAATAGATGACTGTGATGATAAGATAATCTAGTATTTGGACATTTTGGTACTAATAATACGGATCATAAATTCGTATTGAGGAAAAATAACATTCACGTACACGATCACATGCCCCGGCCCACAAAAGATGCTGATGACGTTCAATCATTTATCTAGGCATATGGCGGGTAATTAGGTCTGTAGACGGGTCGGGGAATTGCTGATATGCGACGAAACAAATTCTCTATTCTCGGACAAGGCATGACGGACTATTATAATTGTTCCAAACGTTGGGGTAAGATTTTGATTAAAAAAAAAAAGCCTTGTCTGAGCATCTTTGTTGAGTAGCCCAATGGAACATTATTAATGGGTTATTAAATGTGGGTTTTGTAAGAGAACACCTAACTTATGTCCAGACATTTGGGCCAGAGTAGGACAAAACAATCAAATCCCTCACTTGAGATAAATTAGGAAGAATTACAACACCTTCAAATCTTACTTTATTTGTATAATTATAATTTTTCTAATTATAAATGTACAAACTTTTATACCTAAAAATACATTATGTTATACACTATGCCAAAAAAGCTTCAAATAACTCTTTTGACATAACAAATTTTTAGATAAGTGGTATAAAAAGCGTAACCCTTAGATAGAATTTAATTTAACAAGCGATATAAGAAGAGTAAAAATACACACCACTCATTTTTTATATGAAGGAGTGTTCCAGTCATAGGGATTCACTCAATGTCCGGATGAGCACTATGTGTAAACTAAGCGTAGTGGGAACATGGTGGCGTTTCTTGTACTGTACGTAAATGATATACTCCTAATCGGAAATGATATGAGTGAGTTGTCAGACGTAAAAGTATGATTGTGTGAGCAGTTTGATATGAAGGATTTGGGTGAGGCAGGACAAATTCATGGTATTAGGGTCATTCGAGACCGTAAGAAGGGAATGTTGTGTCTATCCCAATCTTCATACATAGATACTGTCTTGGTCAGGTTCAGCGCAAAACTCTAAGAAAGGGTTCTTATCTTTTCGACATGGAGTCTGTCTAAAGGGATGTCTCCCAAGATACCTCAAGAGATAGAGGACATGAAGGTAGTTCATTATGCTTCGGCAATAAGAAGCCTCATATATGCAATGTTGTGCACAAGGCCCGATATCAGCTACATTGTTGGCGTGGTAGCTAGATATTAAAGTAATCCAGGCCCGGGACATTGGTCTGTGGTGAAACGTATACTCAAGTACCTGATAAGGACTAAGGATTATATGTTAGTTTACCGTGCAGAAAGCTTGCTACTGCTAGGTTACACCGATTCTGACTTCCAATCAGACTGGGATGAAATTAAATCTACCCCACGTTATGTGTTTACAATGGGAGGTGCAACCATTTCATGGGGGAGTGCCAAACAGAAATACGTGGCAGACTCCACCATGAAATTGAGTATGTCGCAGCTTCAGAAGTAGCGAAAGAGATAGTATGACTCATAAATTTTTTGTGGACTTAGATCTGATTCCGAGTTTACCACAAGCTGTCACAGCTTACTGTGATAATAGTGGTGCAGTAGCAAATTCAAGAGAACCACGAGCCCACAAGTCCAGTAAACATATAGAGCGCAAATACCTCCTGATACGAGATATTGTAGGGAGAAAAGACATCGAGGTTTCCAAGATTGCATCAGAGGACAACCTAGTTGATCCTTTCACGAAGAGTCTGTCGGGAAAGGTCTTCGCCAGACTCGTGGAAGGAATGACAGTCAGATGTGTGGTGCCAGGATCGACATAGGGCTTTTAGAATAAGGATTTAAATGATGTACACTAGAAAAGTGGAAGCTTTAAGTATCAATGAGAGAATGTTAGTGTATATACTTAAAGCTTGTCTTTGGATGTTATTTTCACTATTTATGTTGAATGAGATTTCGTGTTTGATTAAAAAAAGTTGTACTTGTTTTATTGTTTTGCACTTAGATAAATGCTACATCACAGATAGACAAGAGATCATTTATCAGCCACTTGCGAAACCTAAAGAAGTTGGTTCACAACTTAGCTAGATGGAAATTGAATAAGCCATCAGAACGGTTGTAGTGTTAACGGTACAGTTGTGGTGAGTTGGAATTGGCGGTTTATGATTGGGGGTCGTAGTACTGCTGGGATCGGATGCCGCTTCTGGCTTGTGCTCGGCTGTTTAGTCGTTTCAACCGCTCCGGGCTAGGAAGAAGGGTTTGCTGTTTCAGGCGGGCTGAATCGGTGAAGCCAAGCCGTGTAGGTTTCTTCACGTGATTGGAGTGCGGCTCAGCTCTTCGATTAGTTCAGGGGTGCGGGTACTCGTCTTGTTAGGCTTTTCGCTGTGGCGGACGGTTGTTTTCGTGCTCGGGAGCCGTCGTTGGGATTGGTTTGTCTGCCGTCAATCTAGATTTATCTGGCGGGGGAGGCTGTATGTTTATGTTTCTTTATTAGCTGTTTGGTTGTGTTAGGTTGTGTTTCAGTTCTTAATTTCTTTAGGATTGTTGTGTTTTTGGTTTGGGCTGTTTGGCCTCTGTGAACCCGAGTGTCACCTTATTATCCCATTGGGATCCGACACTCGGGTATTACTCTGTTGGGGTCCTTTTAGTTATTGTTAGTTGTTTTAGTCGTTTTAGTTGGTTAGTTTTAGTTGCGAGTTTTATTCTAGCGTTGCTAGTCGGGACTCTAGGCGGTCTTCTGACCTGTCCTCCCACTTTTACAGTTGTTGACTGTTGTATATTCAGTTGTTGGCTGTTGTGTATTCGCACATTTGTGCATTTTGATTTATAGGGAAAAAAAAAAAAGAACAAACAAGATAAACAAACGTGTACCAATATTATTCTTTGGTTGAACCTTTTTTGTTAAAAAAACTGCCTTCGTCTCTACACAATGAAATTTTCAATTTGTTTATCAGATTATAAAATAAAATGAATTCTTTAGATTGTGTAAAATGCAGTGTTCTGAAAACCGGACCGGACCGACCGGTTCGACCGGGAACCAGTCAATTCAACGGTTCGGTTCTCTATAAAACCGGATGTCAGCAAAACCGGTCAAAACCTGATCAATATCCGGTTCAATCGGTCAAAACCGGATAAAATCAGCCAGAAACCGGAACGGTTCAACCAGTCAGTTTTTTTTGGTAATGCTGAGCTAATAGATTCTAAGAGATATATATGCAACTAACCTATTTGCTTGACCGATGTGGGACAAGTGGGTAGTAAATTACCACTGCTATGCCTTGTCAAGCGTGAGTGTAAATTTGTGTTGTATCTTATTATTTTATTGATTTAACATGGGAGTGGAAGAAATTTTTTTTTTTTCACATTTTTATCTTTTATTGTTTAATTTATATATGATTGGACTAATCTTTTAAAAAATAAGTAAACTATATTTAATATTTATAAATATTATATATTTTAAAACATCAATAAATTAAATAACTTAAAATTATGTTAATTATATTTATGAAATATTATATATATATTTAAAAATATCAATAAATTAAATAACGGTCCAACCGGTTCAACCATTGATCGGACCAGTAACCATTGAATCGGTAGGTTGACCGGTTCAATGACCGGTCCGGGTTTTCAGAACATTGGTAAAATGTCACCAATGATTTGGGCTTAGGCAGAGACCACACAACTAAGCATGTTCGCCCCATTATGCTCACACTATCTTACTTAAAATTTTGTATGAATGCCACGTTATACACCTAAATTTCGATTAATATTTCCTAGTGTTGCCACCTCCAATCAAATTATATTAAATTAATACCATGAAAATAACTGCCTGTATGATGGTGATGAAACTAAACAAACTCTTCATTTATTTACACGATTTTTTCTATTTATTATATATATTTTTTCGTTTTTTAAAGTATGGGGCAATATAGAATCAATTTGAGGGAACAGAATACGTCCCTATAAATATGTCCNTAAATTGCGAAAAAAGCAAAATGGCAACCCAACCAAACCATTTTCGGTCTATCAGCTTCCCTTCAAGATCATCAAAATCCAAGAATTTTCAATCCCACATACAAAACCTCAAATCTCTTGAAACTAACCTTAACTCGGAAGCCATTCAGTCTGCACTTCTAGACCTTGCCGAATTACACAACTCCGTACAAGAAGCACTTGCCCAATCTCAAAATTCCCAAAAAACAATTATTTTTCACCAAAACACAAACTCCTCGATCGAACAATCTCTTTCGGCCTCAGTCGATTTTCTCGACGTTTGCAGCAGCATTCGGGACCTCACGCAGATGATTAGAGAAAACGTTCAGGCCCTTCAATCTGCTATACGAAGGAAGGGACTCGATTTTTCCAACATCGAAAACGAGATGAATTCATATTCCTCTTTTAGAAAGAGGGCTAACAAATTCGCGGCGAAAACTATTAAACCACTTAAGAATATGGAAAACAAGAACGGGTCGAATCTTTCTTCCCCAGTTGATGAAAACGGCAGTTTCGCTGGGGCTTTAAGTGAATTGAGTGGCCTGACGATAGCAATTTTGAAGAGCACTCTGGTTTTCTTGTCCTGTCCAGCTGGCAAATCCGGCGGCTGGAATTTGATTTCCAGGCTCGTGGACAGGGATTATAGTCATAATAATCGTGGTTTTATTAGCGAGGTTAGGCGTGTAGATTCATTGTTGAGTGCGGTTAGAAGTGGAGATTCTAAGATCTTTGACGTGAATATGGTGCTTATGAGTTTACAAAATCTTGATGAATGTGTGGAGGGGATTGAGGCAGGGATGCAGAGATTGTTTAGGCAATTGTTGCAAAATAGGGTCACACTTCTTAATTTTGTTACCGATCATTGAGATTGAAAATTAAATAATCTGTGATCAATTAACGATTATGAGAAACAAAATTTGTACTATGTTATGAATTGTTAAAGTTGTCGACTTGTTGAAAATTTGTGTGCTACCAAATGTTATGAAAATTTGGAATAATTAATTATTGTCATGGTCATATCCATATAAGGCATGGGTTGGGCTGAAGTCTAATTATTATAGTTCTACTCTTATAAACCAATTTACTAATCATTAAAATAATTCACTTATCTATTAAGTTTATAGACTACTGACACCATTCTAATAAAATATTATATATTGGTGATCCACCCTTTTCACTAGGCATAAACCCACAAAACACCACTATACACTAAACTCTAATCAAATAAATTAGCCACGGCCATGTCCCTCCTTTGAACACACAAAAACATTGAATTTTGAAGCAAAAAAAACCTATTCAACAAGAAAGAGACTACTCTCGAGAAGACAATTTAATTTCTTTTTTAATAGTAAGTTATATTTTTAAACTCCATATTAGTTGAATTATTTAGGGTTCTAATAGTAATTGCTAGGATTATTTCGTTGCAATTCTTGTTTTTAACATACCAAATTTCGTTAGATAGTTACATTTTTAACAAATATGTATACTTTTATATAAAATGATCATCCTTTCAATAACTAACATAAATAAAAATAAATTATTTCTTATTATATATTTGTATTCAATAAATATAACCCATACGACCACTTAACCTGCTTCAACTTCAAAAACAATTAAGTGTTTCACATTACCATAATCTTTAAATTAAAAAACAAAACCATAATAAGATTATGCACACATGTAAACACCTACAAGATTATTTGAAAATGGTCGAGTAAAACGTCACCAAGATTATTTGTACACCCACGCTCGATCACTGCTCCTCCTGTTGCCACATATTGTGAACAATTTAAATATACCATAAAAAAATTGCTTGGTTTGATGGTGAACAACCAACCAACAAACTCAATTTTAAATTTTATTAAGGAACGAAAAGGCATGGGCACCCACATGAAAAAATCCATTCCCAGGGTTAGATTATGTCATCATGAAATGAGGGCGAAAATACACGCAGTAATCTCTGGTCGGAGTTCTAGTTGGCGAGCGACCTTCCTCTGGCCAGAGACTGGCCACTTAGCGTCCTTTCAGTCGCCTCAACCATGGCTCGGGCTGCACACACAAAGCGACTTCGTAACAACAGCATCCATAGTTGCCTTCAGCTGCTGGATGACAGTCACTTGATGCCTGACAGTGCGTCGCACTTGCACCTACGACCGAATCGCGTGCTAGGGTTGTCTAGCAACGTTAGGGGGGTGATTGGATATGAATTCAACTAGTAAAAAATTAGTTTTTTTTAACTATAGTTAAGTTTGAAAAAAAGTAGTATGACTAGTTGTTAGTGGAGATATTAAAATAATATTTAAGTTAAAATAATTAAAGTTGATTTGATGTAAAAGTAGGAGAAAATGATTGAAAGTGATGGTTAGTTAATATTATGTGAGCATGTGAATAGTGAATTAAAGTTGATGTGATGTATAATAATGATTGTTTGATAATATTTAATTATATTGATAATATTGGAGATAGTGGAGTTGAGTTAAATTTGAATTTTGAGTTAGATATTTACTGTACAAATTATAAACAATCACGCCCTAGATCTCTCATGGCTGCTTGGACTGACCGCCACTTACAGTTTTTTGGGTATTAATTATTATTTTTTTTTAAAGTAATTGAGGTTGTTTTGAAATTGATTGATGGTATTTGTTTTGTGACGGTGGTGTTGTGTAATATTATTTGCTTTTATGTGTTGTGGCAGGTTTCTGTCAAGTTATCATTATTCTGTTTTGTGCTGATTTTTACATTGTTTGCGTCATTTGTGTTGTTTTCTAAACGAGTTCAAATTTTCTTGTTGTTTTTTAAGTACTTTATTATGTTTTTATTAGTGTCAAGAGACAAACCCTTAAGTTGTTATGGTATTTGTTTTGAACATTGTCAATAATGTATTCTTTATTTTTTTGTATATTGAAAGGAAGTCATGAGTGGATCGGTTGCCGTCAAATTTATGCACACAGTGTTATGCGATCATGAAAAGAAAGTGATAAAAGTTGACAAATCCAAATTTATAAGTTCTCTCATTATTTATGCAAGAGTATTAGAAAGCTAATGCAATATATATTGACTAAATGATTTGTGGCTAACATATAACCACATTAGTATGGGATACCATAACGAGACGACTTGACTCGAGAAACAAGCGTACTGAACCGAGTGAATTTGTAGGTCGAACGGAGATCGAAAGAGCCACATATGGAAGAGTGCTCAAGTTGATTAGGACGTCACAGGTCCAAAGAAGCATCGACAGGTCGAGCGAGCTAGGGCCCTCAGATGACCTGGTGGAAACTCGACCTGAAGGTATGACTAGTCGATGGATCGACCAGAAGGGCAGAGCATACAAGCTTAGCACAAAAGGTACTCTATCTCGAGGCGCATCAAGATTAGACCGCCTAATAAAATAGACTAATGGGTACGAAGGAATATTAAGATAAAAACCATACGTAGATAAAAGAACTGCACGTGGATAGGGCTACGTGGCCTAACAGAATTGGGCAATTCCGACGGTACAAACGGGCAGCTCAGGCAGCTCATTCGGGCAGTCTTGGATAACAAGGTAACACCCCTATAGAAAGGGGTGAGGTATGTTCTACATTCTCTACACACTCTATACTTACAGATATTTATATCTATTTTTCATCGTCTTCATCACTGTGAACTGACTTGATCGTCGGAGTGCTAACGCCGGGAACCTCTCTCGGCCCATTTTGCAGGAATACGAACAGGTAGGAATATAGATCCAGGTCGTGCGAGCCAGACAGAGATCTTTTGCACACCATTTTGGCGTCGCCAGTGGGATATCGTTCAAAAATTCATCAAAACACCATAGCTATAGCGAACGAAGCTCCTAAGAAGAAATCAAAGAATACTTTTGACGATGCGTGGACCACCACACGTCCGCTCGGAGCAAGTCCACCGTCGAGCTTCTCCGGACCATTTCACAACACGATGACCCCAATGCCTAACCCTATGGGCATAAAGAGCTCATCAGCAGCCCTTTGTTACAGTTGGAGACCCGAACAACTAGAAAGAGGTCAGATTGGGTACGGAGATCGTGGTTCAACCCCAAACGCAACCATATCTTGGTGCGGTCATGCCGATAAGACCACCAAGGAGTGCGGTCGAGCCAGCATGTCAACAACTTGTTACCGTGAAGAAGGCAGAGTTGAGAAAAATGATAGCCTATGCGATGGCGTCCGAGTGCACACAACAACAAATGTCCAAAGTGGTCACTGTTACCGCGACGACCAAAGGATATAGAAGTTGGAATTTCGAGCAACACAGGTGGAGGATCACGTCGTGACCTCATGGTGGAGAAAATGACAGAACAACTGAAGGAGCTACAGGCTAAGAGAAGAATGTGGAGGTCTCCCACTTTGCTCAGAGGATCTTGGATGCCACCTGCCAAGTAGATTTTGAGAGCTCAATCACATATGACGGATCTACGGATCCAACTCGACACTTGAGGTCTTCAAGGAACCCACAAAAAACCCACAGGATAGGAACAGTCACCACAATTAAATAACTAATCACTAAGTTAATTTTGACAGTTAAATCGGCATAATAACGAGAAAAACAGATAATTGTGGAATAAAGTATTCACTGGGCCTATTTTAAGACTACCATAGGTGGGCAGTTATAGATTTTGGCCCAAAAGCAAGGAGATTGGACAAATCTGCCTTTTTGTTAACCCATCCAAAGAAAGCCCAATTAGTCATGCTCAACTTACAAGGCCCAACGAGTTGCAAGTAGTTTTGACTGCAATGAGTTGAGCAGATCTTGATCCAGCTCAAATCTACATCATTGGGCACGTTCATGAACTTTTTATTAGCTTTTTAAAAAGACTGTATGATACAAGTGTTAGAATTAAATTACTCATTTAATCACATCTAGACAATCTCCAATTAAAAATTCATTCTTAAATTTAAAATGTACCAATTGTCATATCAAATTATAAATCTACCCTACACCTTTTTATCCATTCTTAAATTCAAAAACATTCCAAACATATTCTCTTCCACGTCAATTTTTGTAAATTTTCAATGCTATTGCACATATTTGATAACTTTATAAATTCTATCTTATTAATATTTTATATTCAATAAAAACCTGTAACAAAATTAATTATAATTTGAAAATGTGTACGCATAAGATTATTGAAATAAATATTTATTAAATAGAAAAAATTACATTAGTTTTGTGGCTTATGATTTATTTTATTTATGTTATTTTTATATTTTCAACAATAGTTGGTAATTTTCATGTCTTTAAGAAGTTTGAGAGTATCTCACCAAATTTTATTATTATTGTATTGAATGCTATATATCCAATTTATTTTTGGTAATTATATAATCTTATATATATATATATATAGGGATTGGTTCCAGTGCATCCGCTTATTTAAAGTGAGGACGTGAGACTCATTCATAGCCACAAGATTTGGATCTTGATTTAAATAATAATTCTTTATTTTTATTATTTAATTTATTATTTTTAATTATTTAAATATTATTATATTGACTCCGGCGTTGACCGTTGACTCCAGCGTTGACTTCCGGCGAGAATCGCTGACTTCCAGCGTTGGCCGTTGACTTTCAGCTTTGACCCGTTGACCTTAGTATGCATCATGTATGAAAAAATAATTAAAGTCAACTAACCTTACAAACTGAATACAACTAAACAATGCAAATAAAAACAACTAACCTTGCAACAAGATAGAATTAACTTTGCAACTGCAGATAACTAATCTTGCAACTAGAGAAAACTAACATTGCAACTAGACAGAACTAACCTTGCAACCAAAGACAACTAACCTTGCAACTAAAGACAACTAAGCAACCAAAGACAACTAACCTTGCAATCAAAGACAACTAACCTTGCAACTATAGATAAATAACCTTGCAAACTGAATACAACTAAACATTGCAAATAAAAACAACTAACCCTGCAACATTTTTACAATAACTTTGCAACATATTTACACTAACTTTGCCTCACCATATTTACTTCATACACAATACATGTTATGGTCAACGGGTCAACGCCGGAAGTCAACGGGCAACGCCGAAAATCAACGGTCAACGCCAGAGTCAACGGTCAACGCCGAAGTCAATTAATAATTATTTTTATTATTTAATTAATGTATATTTTAATTGATTAACATAAATTCTTGATCCAGACAAAATGAGTGGCTAAGATTAAGTCTTACGTACTCATTTGAAAGAGTGGTCTCATTGGATCCACCTCATATATATATATATATATATATATAAAGATATCGAATCCACACCATCATAATTTTGGTAATTTAAAATATCAAACAAATTTGAAATTGTAAAATGCAAACATAATTGAAGTGTTTCTTAATACAAAAATGCTAAAAAAATGCATATTTGTATATTCTCATGAAATAACTGACCAAAATGATGTACGAAAAAATGTATGTGATTATCTACGATACAAAAACATGTTTGCATTTCTGGAAGAGTAGTCAAATACGAATTTGCATAGATTATTTCATCCATTTTGTATTTGAGTTGGAAATTCACATACGATTGAGAAGCCCAGCAATACTATTTTTGTAAAAAAAAATATATATTTTCGTAAACAATATGTCAAAGAAAAATTACTACGTCAAAGGAATACGAGAAATTTGGTGTTGGTGTAATTATTTCTTGTGATTCTTACTATATTATTAGTAATAATATTATTACGGTTTCATTGAAAAAAATAATATTATTAGTAATAATATTATTTCTTGTGGAAATGAAATGCTATGATTTTTTTAACCTTTTTACTCAATATGAATACAGATTAAAGTTTAGTTGACTATGAAATTAGCTTGGCACACCGGCCACGATGATATTGCTTGTCACACCGTCCAAACTTGACTTTTTAGATACAAATTAAATAAAAACACACATAAAAATGGATCTTTGTAAACATATTGCTAAAAAACCTGGGTGGCTATATGTCAAAATGATATGATTTTGTTACGCACCGCCTACTAAATTCATGTGAGATTCCGTTTGTTTTGACGGATTTGAAATATGTTGATTTCAAAATTTTTGAAATATTTTTTTTTTATTTGCACACTTCTTGAATGGATATGGTGAAAATATTATAAATAAATTGTCTAGCTCGCATCGATAGTGTTGACTCACGGTAGTGATGAACCTAAATAATCGCGGACGACATGGTCGTCAGTAGTGATAAACAGTAGATTTCAAATGACTAGATTTGATGAGTCATTTCAAATCCTTCAAAATAATGACTAAAAGACATGTAGCATGAATTTGAAATCCTCCAACTTATATTATCATCCCAACATGAATGAACATTTGAACTTGTAAATTTGAAATCTATGGATTTCAAATCCCTCAAAACAAACGGAGAAAGTAACGAGGTATGATATTTTGTCGATGAAATTCAATGATTTTTAAGCTTGCACAGAAAGAAATATTTTTTTTTTAAATTTTTTCTTTTACCAAATTCCCGTTTCTTTTCAAAAAGGTTGACCATACTTATTAGATCATCTAAACTTCTAAAGGCAATTGTAATATTTCATTAGAAAGATGAAATTTGCACTAATATAATATAGCATCATTTTTGTTATGTTAATGTGTACCATGTAAATATGGGTCAACCGTAAACATGATTGCGTATATTGAGTGGGCCCGATATCCCTTTCCTAGGAAGTAATCTTAAAAATGTGCAACAAAATCGCTATCCACAATCTAAAACTAATCTGACTCACCTCTGACGCCCTATCTATCCACTTATGACTCACCCCTGACTCAGCGTCATCCAAACTACAGTCTTAATACTTTCTATATAAACCCCACCTCCCTCAGTCTACCCAATGTACGTTTTCCACATCTTTTAAGAGCGCATAAAATTCCAGCAAAAACAAATTATAATTGCGAATTTAGTTCAGTAATATAAGAAAAAAAAAAAATGGCAACTCAAGTGAAGGCTCTCGGTTGGGGCGCAACAGACTCGACGGGCGTTCTCTCTCCTCTTGAGTTCACCCGGCGGGCCACCGGCAGCCGCGACGTCCAATTCAAAGTCCTCTATTGTGGCGTCTGCCACTCAGATCTCCACCTCGTCAAAAACGATTGGGGATTCGCCAAGTACCCAATGATCCCCGGCCACGAGATCGTCGGCGTTGTCACCGAGGTCGGATCCGAAGTCGACAAATTCAAGGTCGGCGACAAGGTCGCCGTCGGCGTCATGGTCGGATCGTGCCGTAATTGCGACCAGTGCGAGAGCAATCTCGAGAACTACTGTCCGGAGAAGCTGGACACCTACAATGGCGTCCAGGCCGACGGATCCATAACCTACGGCGGCTATTCAGATCTGATGGTCGCCGACGAGGGCTTCGTCATCCGCTGGCCGGAGAATTTCCCCATGGACCGCGGCGCCCCGCTGGTGTGCGCCGGGATCACAACCTACAGCCCACTGAAGTATTACGGGCTGGACAAGCCGGGCCTCCACGTGGGGGTTGCCGGGCTAGGCGGGCTGGGCCACGTGGCGGTCAAGTTCCTCAAGGCCTTCGGCGCCAAGGTGACTGTGATGGACATCGCGCCGGAGAAGAAGGCGTACGCCCTTGAAACTCTGGGCGCCGATCAATTCCTGTTGAGCCACGAGCTGGAGTCGGCTAAGGGGACTCTGGACGGAATCCTCGACTGTGTTTCGGCTTTTCACTCGATTCAGGCTTATTTGAGCCTTTTGAAGCCGCACGGGAAGCTGGTGGTGGTGGGGTTGCCGGAGAGGCCCCTGGAGCTGCCGATGTTCTCGCTGGCGACGGAGAGGAAGATGATTGGTGGGAGCATGATTGGGGGGATTAAGGAGACTCAGGAGATGATTGACTTTGCAGCTAAGCATAATATACTGCCTGATGTTGAGATTATATCGATGGATTATATCAATACGGCCATGGAGCGACTGGCGAAAGCCGATGTCAAGTACAGATTTGTGATTGATGTGGGGAATTCTCTAAAAGCCGCCGAGTGATTTCGATCCGGCTAGAGACAATTACTCACCTATTTTTCAATTTTTATTTGTCCTTTTCATTTTTTTTACCTTTTTATATTGTAATTAATAATGCTATTAGGACTCGGGATTTATTTTACATTTGAAAAATACTATCATTACCGTTTCGTTATTATTTCATGCTCCAATGATTAATTTTTATTTGTTCATTATTTGGTTATTTTTGTGGATGTTAGTTTGTGATACAAAAAGGGTAAACACGAGAATATATTAGGTTCAATATCCATATCTATCCAAATTAAAGTCAAACTCGAGTTTTACCACCACCGCCATTTAAAAGTTAAGGTACACAACAAATCATGAGGTTGTCTTACAAGTTTTACTGAAGGGTTTAAAAAATGTAAAATAGGTAAAATTGACAACCGAATCGAAAATGGGAGGGAAAAATAATTTGGAGCCAAGGCGATTATAGGCCTTTATTTTTATTTTATTTTTAGAGGGTAGGGATGCAATGATTTATCACTGCCTAATCCATTGGTTAAAGAGGGTTAATAGAGGCAGTAAAGATAGATTAATATTCTATCGTTAAGTTACATTCGGTTTACTAATATGGAATTAAATTGCTTAAATATAAAATAATTATAATTATAAAATTATGAACCAATATGTTCAAATGCGGTTCATACGATGTCCTCCTACCATTGGATTAACATTTGGACAATCACAAATCGTACAAATAAATTTTTAAAAAATTAAGATATACTTTAATTTTGTTATTAATAACAAAATAATAATTTGATATGGAAATCTCATAATTTAAAGAATTAATATTTATTTTCTCTCATTATAAATATGTACTATAAAATATATAATATATATATTATTAAAACATTAAGACCAAAAATTAAAATAAAAGTATATGCATATACTAGATTTTGGCTAACCAAGTTGTCTGCTTGCTTGAGACATGACTGAGTCAATCAGATCAATTTAGGTTTTGAGTAAGCTTATCGCAAAGTAATTCAAAACTTTATCGGGATTTGGTTGACTAGTTGGAATGAGAGCATGCACACAATGCATTTTTTGTTAAATTCTAATTTCTAATTCAGAACAACTATAATTTTTTTTGAATTTAATTATATAAAATTAACTAATTAATAAAAATCTTTTTAATCACACATAACGTGTATTTTACTGCAATGAATAAAAAAACATATCATTGCATAATATCTATTAATATTGACTTTTTGTAAGAAATTATGACTTTTAATTATTAGACAACATAATAGCAATATTTATTTATTTATTTTTACATAATTTTGACTTGTGAGAACTTCTTTAGTATAATCGGCTGATGTTGGGTGGTTTTAGAAGTAGCCAAAACCAATTAACTCCAAATATTGGCCGACCGGGTTTTATGTTGACTCGTTGAAAGGCGGTCCATCTGAACCTCCTTGCTCGACCGAGTTCCTCCACAGCCTATATCTCACTCCAAGCTTATCATATGGCACAGGCCAATTCCACACATTTGCGCCATTTAGCATGCGCTCCTGTTGACCCAATACTATCCTTAAATCCTCATTCAGGACCTGTTAATTTGGTCAACATACATGTGATTATTAAAAGTAAAAAATATATACACACATTTTAGTTAAATTTTTTTACTGCAACTCAAAAAATTTTCACCTTGTTGCCAAAGTGTCTCCACAGGTGGTCGATGAAGGGTATGTGCTTTAGTATGGGGGCAAAGTCGAGCGACATTCTATACAAAAGCCTCGTCTTTTGTCTCGATGAAGGCACGCAAACATGAAGCTGGTGAAGGTGTGTTTCGCCCTCTCTTGTGCTCTGCCCTTCTAATTTCCCGGGCTTCGAGATGCCAGTTGTCGACAGCACAATGCAAGGTGGCCTGAACTCCATATCTATTGGATAAGGCTCCCAGTATCCTTGCAGACTGGATGATTGTGACAAGAATCTCACCAACCTGAGAATAAATTAAAAAAGAAAAAGATAAATTGGTTCTTTGATCATAAACTGATTAGCATGATATAAGCAACAAATGAAGAAACCAAAAAAATAACCTTGGAATGCTCCATCCCTTAGCAAATGTGGATGTGTGTACAAAAGGAGCATGTACAAGATCTAAAAGGTTTTCCAGTAGTAGTCCGTGTTCAACAGGAAGTTCAATTATAGTCTGTTATATTATACACAAAAAAAAAAAAAAAAAAAAAAAAAAAATTGAGAATTAAGAACTTTCTTTTTTCCAGCAATTATAGTCCATACAACTCTCCATGTGAAACAAACCTCTAAGTGTATTTGGAAACCTGAAGGTGGTAATAATGAAGGAAGTTTAGCGGTTGGGGGATCATTTCCCGGCCAAATCCAAATCATTTCTTCTTGCTCAAGACAAGGCAAGGACTTGATTTTTATGTCGAGCAATTTAGTTGACGGCATTTTCTCACATTTTCCATCGACCGAGTACTCCCATCCTGATATCGACCAATCACACCAAGATAAAGTTGTGTTCTCACTTGTTCTTATTTTAGATTATAGTAAAAATGATTTTACCGTGATAAGGACATTGTATACGGCCCTCGTTTACTGAACCCAAATGAAGTGGGCATGCCCTGTGAGCGCACGTGTTCTGAATGCACCCGGGTTTTCCGTTTTTACCACGAAAAATTACCCATGGTTCTTCAAAACAATCTATGGGAACCTATCAGAAAAATCACCCAAGACCTAATAAAAACAATCAAAGAGTTTGAGAGAAGAGGAATAATGATGAGCTATTAATGAATGTGCATGCTAACCAAGGTATCGTGTTTCAAGTCAGAGGAAAAGGCTACAGGGTACCAAAAACTTCTGAGACGGTCACTGTAAGGTTGGACAGGGCCTGACACGTTTAAGTTATTTTCTTTACGCTTTCTGCTCTTCATAGAATTGAGACATTCTGTGGAAGTACTTGGATTTGGGAGTAAGACATCAATTTTGTTTGTGTTTCGATCTTCAATTACTTCATCATTAACATCAAATGTGTCCGTATAAGCCAGTTTTTCCAAAGCAGTCGATACCCCTGCTTCTGATCTATGTTCCTGCATAAGTTGGAAGTCAAGATACGTTAATGAACATCTCCTTTAATTGTTTGTATTCAAGATAAACTCATAAAACTTCATTTCTGCTTACATCTATAATTTATGCAACTTAAACAAAGTTTTCTATGAAGTTTTACTTAGTACTGTTTAGTTATTTAAGTAATAAAATAGTTGTTACCTCATTACGTGCCAGTGCTAGTTCCTTGTTGAGAGTTCCGATTGATTTAAATTCACGAGCGAGGGAGTATAATACTTCCATGATCTAGCAATTTAGTTTGATGAAATGCAAACAAAGGCAAAAGATGATTGATTATCAGTTATATCAAAATGCATATTATATATACGACATGTTTAATTTCTTCCCCATCCGAAGAATCCATCTAGAGAGTATTTAAATTAAAATCTTACAAAAGAGGAAAAATGAGTCAACAAAATCTTTAACAAACCTTTTGGTGCAAACGCTTGATGGTTCGAACATCTTGCCGAGCCTTCAAATCACAATATTGTGTGTCATATCTAGCCATTTCTAGAGCTTGATTCACTTTGAGAAATCGGCCTTTATGCTGTGTTGTCCCAGATTTTTTTCTCTCGACAAATCCACCTTCTTCATCGAGGATTGCAAATACTCCCAACCATCCCTTTACACACTCAGATCCAAGATATAGTTACAATGCTTTGTACTTGAAACCATATTACTTCTTGATTGAATATTCTGTTATGTAAGACGTTAGCTAAATCTCCAAGGACTACAAAATTTTAAATTCTATTTATGTATGCATAGTGTGTTACTTGTACGAACATCCGTGTACTACATGAATACTTAAATATATATTAATATTTGTACAAGAAAAATTAAAATAATTTATATTTTTATTATAATGATGAATATGCAACAACAATAAATTATAACTAATAAAATGATATTAATTCAAATAGTGCCCGTATTTTACTACTTTTACACTAAATTTGTCAAAAAAATATAGTTTTAATTACATTTTTAAAATTATATATGCATAAAACTGATATTATTTACAGCTCTATATATTTAATTTGTTAATTTTTTAACAAAACAAGTTTTATTGCATTGTGATTATATTTTATATTTATAGAGTCAGTGTCTCACATCTATTAATTTTTTAAGTATTTTAAATTCATATAATTTATAATTTAGAATTTAAGTAGAAATGTATTATTTTCTAACTTTATGAAATAAAAAATTATTTTATTATATTTAATTATGATATTATTTTATCTTTACTATTTTAAATAACATAATAACATTCAATTTTTTATAATCTATTTAAATTGAGAAATAAAATTTTATAATATTTTTAAAAAATTATTTTATGTAATGCTTAATTTTTATTTTTTTTTCTAAAATTTATGGAAAAAAATAAATTGATTATTTTATGGTGTATTTAATGAATTATGTTTTCATTATTTTTATATAATAATTTTTATTTTTATTTGATGTATTTTAAATTGAGTTGATAGTGAAATTAATTTTATTGATAAGTATAGATGAAATAATTATTTATTTAATATATGCAATATAGATGTCAAATCGAAGATCGTTAATATATAATTATTTTGGTAGATCATATATAAAAAATAAAATACAAATAAAAAGGTTATAAAGTTCTAAAAATAAAAAGAATACATATTTATAATAGCTAATGTATGAATTAAATAAAAAAGATAAAATTAGTATATGGTAACTTAATAAAAAAGGGAAACTAATATAGTTTATGGTAATTTTCAAGCATTATAGGCAAAACCAAACCTAAACATGTTTTAATACGCAACACCAATTTATGCCAAATAAGCTTACGAAGCACACGAGCCTGCCACTTAAGCTCAACGCATTCGAGAATTATATATAGGGGACATGTAAGAAAAAAAAAATAAGGTTGTCCTTGATTGATTGTAAGAGATAATCAATTTTATATTTATTATTGGTAGCTGAAAGGAACGATTACAATGTCATTTTTTCTATAGAAAAATAATATCATAAATTAAATTTCAAATACCCATTAGATAAATTATGTAAATAGTGTGACATAAATTGGGGATGGCTTTTTGTATATATATGTATATACATGTGTATGTGTGTGTGAATGTTTGTGCGATAGATTTAAAATGAGTGTCCAAAGACGAGTCAATTATCAATTCGTGGCCTAATAAATAAATTCTATTAATCTGAGAGCCAAAAGATTTTAAAAAATTAATTCAAGTGTCTGAAAGATAGGCTCTAGATATTTTAAACTCTCAATTTAAAACATTGAATATATTTGTTGAGAATATAAAATAAAAACATGGGCTCTTCCATGAGGGCTTGATTATGAAGCAGTTGTGGAAGTTGGTCACCCAGCCTGAACTTCTTGTGTGCAGACTGCTAAAATCAAGATACTTCCCCAACCTTGATTTTTGTGATGCTCAAAAGAAAAGTGGTGGATCTTGGCTTTGGAACTCATGGATGGAGATCAAACCCAAATTTGACAAATTAATTCAAGTCCAACAGTGGCAGAAACACAACTATTCTGGGATACCCTTAGGTTCACACCTTGGAAAAGCAGAGACTCAAACTCAAACCAGGGGTTCAAACTTCATGTAAACTGGTTACAGACCTGCAGAGTGATGGGCAAAGTTAGAATGATGAACTCTTTTTTTTTTTTTTTCAAAACGATAGATTGAATATAACTTACGAGATTTACAAAGTTCGACGGCTGACTAGCCACATTCGACCGAAGTCCAATAGAGGAACACACGCAGGTGCCCTAAACAATACTAACTAAAAGAGACTGTAACTCGGCAGAAAGACAATGTCTGAAACCGAACTACTCCAAATGAGTCCTGAAGCAACCTAGAGAAACAGCAGAAATCCTAATACAAACTACATAATCATCAGAGCTAAGTACAACAATGACAAAAACTAAAGATTACAACCACTGAACTTCAAAAGCACCTAGTTGAACCTTGAGTCAGTTGCCAATGCTTCCTTGAAACTCTCTCCACTCACTAACAGCAATATCAACAACATTTTTAGTTGGTCTGAGGATACCTTGGAAAACCCAGTAATTCCTTGATTTCCAAATCCACCATAATAGATAAGCTGTAAGGCTGGCTCGGGCATCATTGCATGGTTCCTGTTTGATACAACAAATTTTGGTCCACCAAGCTTTGAAATTGTCCGTGTCTTGTTCTAGCCCGTCCCATGTGAGTGGTGATGTAGCCCAAATCAGTTTGGTTCTGGAACATTTAAAGAGCAGATGTTCTAGAGTCTCAGGAGATTCCCCACATACCTTGCAAGTTGAGTCAATGGATACTCCTTTTTTGATAAGGTTGCAGTTAACTGGAAGGAGGTTTGAGTAGCACTTCCAAAGGAAATGCTTCAATTTGCCTTGCACATTTAGACTCCAGCTTCTTTTCCTTACCTTTTTAGCAGTTAAGTGGCCCCAGCTGCTTTCAGGATAATCCATGTGACACCATTTTTGATGAATGAGTTTCAGGTAAGTGGAGGCCACTGTGAATTCTCCTTTGGAGTTCCAATCCCAGCAGACTCTATCCTTCTTTGATGGTTCCATGCTCTTGATCTTCAAAATAGCTTCCTTTTCCTGGTCAGTGAAAGTGTCTTCAAGAAGCTTTGTATTCCATCTTCTGCCAGATTCATCAAGTAAGTCTGCCACCATTTTAATTCTAGGGTTGGAGGATGTATTTGTGGGTTTAAATCCTGGCAAAGATGGTATCCATGGATGCTCCCACACTTTTGTTGATTTTCCATCCCTTACTTCATGTCTCAGCCCAGCTATCAATGTGTCTTTTGCTTCCATCCAACTATTCCACAGCCATGAACCACTTTGTGAGTGTTGAGCAGATAGGACTGTGCCATGTGGATAATACTTAGCCTTTAAGATTTTGCTCACTAGTAGGTTAGGCTTTGTATAAAGCCTCCATAGCTGTTTTGTGATAAGGGCTTTGTTGAGTAGCTGGATGTCTTTGAAGTTCAGGCCTCCAAATTCCTTTGGCACTGCAAGTTTGTTCCAGGATTTCCAGAAAATACCCTTTTTATTGTGATCAGACTTCCACCAAAATGATGCAAAAAGCTGAGTTAAGGAGTTACACAAAGTTTTTGGTAAGATAAAACAGGACATCACATAGATTGGCAAAGCCCCAAGAACTGCTTTTAAAAGAACTTCCTTCCCTGCAGTGGTCAGAAAGTTATTCTTCCAGCTTTGAATTCTCTTTTTCACATTTTCAATCACAAAGGCAAAGGTGTCCAGTTTAGATCTTCCTATCCCCAAGGGTAATCCTAAGTATTTGGAGGAGTTGTGGTGGGATATACCCAGCAAGGTTTGGCAGATGGAATTTTTTAGATCAGTGGAGGAGTTTTTGCTGAAGAAAATTGTCGATTTTTGAAGGTTAACTGTTTGTCCTGTGAAAGTTTGGAACTGATTAAGAATTCTCATGAGAAGTCTGGCATTTTGCTCATTAGCCTGACAGAAAATGAGAGTATCATCTGCAAAGAACAAATGGGTGAAGGCAGGACCATTCTTACAAATTTTAATCCCCTGGAAAAGGCCCATTCTGGCATTTCTTTTTATAAGGTTAGACAGAATTTCAGAAACAAGGATAAAAATGTATGGTGATAAGGGATCACCTTGTCTAATGCCTCTAGAAGGTGTAAGAAAGCCAGAGGTTTCTCCATTTAAATTAAAAGAAAATGAGGTAGAGGAGATGCAAGCCATGATCCATTTGATAAAAGAAGAGTGAAATCCCAGCTTAGCCATAATTTGTTTAACACTATCCCATTCAACCCTATCAAAAGCTTTGGACATATCTAACTTGACAGCCATGTAACATTTACTACCAGTTCTATGCCTATTCAGAAAGTGAATGGCTTCATTGGCAATAATCACATTGTCCATGATTTGCCTATCAGCCACAAAAGCTGACTGATTGGCACTGATGCATAAAGGGAGACAAGGCTTCAGTCTCTTTGCTAGAATTTTGGCAATGACTTTATAGGTGACACTGCAGAGACTGATAGGCCTATAATGGGATACCATTTCAGGATTTTGGCATTTAGGGATGAGAGTAATCAAAGAATGATTGATGCTTTTCAATAATTGACCAGATTCAAAAAAGCTTTGGACTAAAGCACAGAAATCAGGTTTAACAATATCCCAAAAGGATTGGAAAAAGGAAGAAGTCATACCATCTAAACCTGGTGCCTTGTTGGTGTCAATGCTAAAAACAGCTTCTTTGATCTCTTCCTCTTCCACAGCTGCAATGAGATCAGAGTTAAGGGCTGAAGTGATTTTGGGTTGAATATCTCTGAGCAGGTCCACACCATTCTGCTGCCCTTGGGAGGTGAATAAATTGGAGTAGAATTCCTCTAAACAAGCCACTATGTCCTCCTTTGTGTCACATACATTGGAGTTTTCTTTGATCAGTCTGGTTATCTTGTTTTGAGTTCTCCTTTCCTTGATGCAAGCATGATAAAATCTGGTGTTCTTGTCACCTTGTTTGAGCCAGTTAGATCTAGCCTTCTGCTTCCAATAAAGCTCCTCAGATGCATTGACTCTATCCAGCTGATTCTTCAATTGGTCCCAAAGTCCCCAATTCCTTTCACCCCCTTGGCAGTTAAGCTCTGCTAATTTAACATTCAACTCAGCAATTTGGGAGGAAGTTTCCTTTCTGAAATGACTGCTCCATTTGAGAATTTCTACCCTTGTGCCTTTGATTTTCTCCTGGAAGGTAAACATTGGGGTGCCATTGTAGGGTTTGTTCCAAGCTGCTGTTATGATGTCTTTGATACCTTCTCTGGCCAGCCATCTTTTGTCAAAGCTAAACCTTTTCTGAACCTTGCTGACTGTGGTGTTGAAATTCAGTAAAAGGAGCCCATGGTCTGAGGAACTTCTATGGATATTGGTAACATCTGCTGAAGGGAAAAGTTGGTGCCAGCTCAATGTACTGAAGATTCTATCCAGTTTCTCCTGCACAAATCCTTCATTCATCCTCATGTTGCCCCAGGTGAACTTATGACCTTTCATATTCAATTCCAGCACCCCCATTTGAGCAATGAATTCCTTAAACCCTTGCATTGAATCATCTGATCTTCTCCTTCCACCTTCTTTGTCAGACCTATCAAGTAGGTCATTCCAATCTCCCCCCATAAACCAACTATCTCCCCATCTGTGTTTAGCTTCTAATAAGTAATCCCATTGAACCCTTCTAAGAGCTACATCTGTACTCAAGTACACAAAAACTCCCCAGTAGCTGGTTTGCTTCTCAAAGTCCCAGTAGCATACTTCTATACAGAACTGGTTCTTCACCATATTGATAATCTTGATAGAAGGATCCCAACCTAACAAAAGACCTCCACTTTTTCCTTGAGGTTCAACTACTACCCATCTATCCGCTAGACAAAGATTTTTACAGACTGTTTTTACAAATTTTTCTTTTTTCTTAGTTTCAGACAAGAAAATGAAATTTGGGTGGTGGAGCCTACTAATCTCCTTGATTTGGGAAACTGTAGAGGGCCCACCCAGTCCTCTACAGTTCCACACCACAGCTTTCATTGGGGGGTTGGGGGCCCATTAGGGTTGGCCACCTTCACCCCTTCAGTCACCATCTTCTGCCTTTTGCTTTGTTCATTGTTGGTCTCTGTGCTAAACTCAGTATTGAACTCCTCTACTTCCTTCTCTGATTTTTGGATTTCTAATTTCCTTTTAGTTCTGGTAGGCTTCCCTTGTTGTATGTGTCCTTTCAGTATGGATTTGGGTAGAGTCCTTCTTTTCCATGTTCTGATAGAGCCCTTTGAGCTGTCTTCTTCTATGGTAAGAGGTTGATCTGGTTCTGCCTCTTCTATATGGATATGCATTTCTTCATCTTCCAAGGTAGGTTGAGGTTCTGGATGTGTTGGAGTGGTTTTTGGTGGGGGTTTATTGTGGTGTAAGGTAGGGGTTTGTTTGTTTTGGGATTTTGATATTGGGGTTGAAGTAGGTGTGGTTATTTCTGGGGGATTTTCTGTTAAAGGGTGAGGGTCCGCAGATTTGGAGATGGGATTGAGGGATGTTGAGGGTTGTGTATCTGACTGTTGTTTTTGAAGATGAGGTTGGGTGGATGCTTCAGTTGATAGGTTGTTAGATGGGTTTAGTGTGGTTATGGGGGTTCTGACAATCAGTTGGTTTGGTGTTTGTTGGGGTGAAACAGTTTGGGATCCTGAAGTGCTATTGTTTTGAGGGTGATAAAGGTCAATGGCCTTCAACCATTCTCCATACAAGCCTGGTGTAAGGCTCTCCTTATCAATGTCAGCTGCTCTTTTCTCACAAAATTTCTCTAGGTGTCCCACAATGCCGCAATAGTGGCATAATCCTACCAGTCTTTCATATTTAAGCTCCACCACATTTCTTTTATCTCCCAGTTGTATGTTGACACATCTCAGTATAGGTAATTCTATGTCCATGGTAACCAACAACCTCATACACTTCCCTGCAAGTAGGCCTGATTGGGGTATTGAGACATCCTTAACTTTCTTAAATGCTTTCCCAATTTTCAGTCCCACCTCCTCGGAAATCCAATTAATTGGCACATTCCAGAGTTGCACCCATATGTCTAATTCCTGGAAAGCTTTATGGTTTGGTCCTAGTCCTTCTTCCCATTCTTTGAGGATTAGGAATTGATTGTCAAAGGACCAGTTGGTGCTTTTGGCTACCCTGAGCTTGTCAGCCTGATCGTGGAACACAAACTGAAAATAATTCTGTTGGAGTTCTTTGATAGTTAGCGGAGCTTTGATATGCCACATTTGCCCTACTGCTCTTTTGAGTCCCATAAGATTAGCCTTCTTAACTCCCAGAACTTTCCCAAAGAGGCTTCTCTCGCATTCCACTGCACTTGCTTTAATGTCCTCGTCGGCAATGGGGATTATTGAAGTTTCCCTATCTGATAGGTGAGTGGTGTTGAGCTTCGTTACAATGTCTTCTTCCATGAGGATACCCTTAACTCTGAGCTTCAGTTGCAGCTTGGTATCGAAAGAGATCTGAAACAAGGGTTAATCGGAACAAAAGAAACAAAAGCATAGAAGAGAATCTAATCCCTAACTACCCCTCCCTAAGGAAAACCCCGAGAAAGAAGCAAACAACAAACCTGGAAACTGAAAAAGCACTCCTAAACGGAGAGAATAGGCCGCTGAACGGAATTAGGCTCTATCGAAAGAGAAGAGGCTCTCCTGTAGAGAGAATCTATTCCCACCATGGGCGATACATTCACTGTTTGATGAAGTAACTGCTGAGGCCATTTTTAATATCAACAACTTGCAGCCTCAGATGGAGGATGGTTGGAAATGGCTTGGAGCTAACAAAGGTTAGTTTTCTGTTTCTACACCTTACTCATCACTCATTAAGACAAAACTTTCCATGTTGGACAGACCAGAAAGCAGCTTTAATTTCAAGCTTGAGAGACATGAAAGTTAGGGCCAGAACTTGGATATTGAAAATTAAGGGGAAGATCAAACACTTCATTTGGAAGTGCATAAATGGTACATTACCAGTTGGCAGTAAGTTGTGTGTAGTAGGGGACTTGATATTGACCCTATTTGCCAGGTTTGTGGAGAGGAGGTAGAAACAATTACTCATGTGCTATGGCAGTGCAATAAGGCTCAGAAGGTTTGGCAATTAGCTCATGTCAGTTGGGATTGTTTCTCTTTATCTGGAGCTTCATTTTCAGATTGGTGGTGGTCTATGTGTTCTTTGAGCTCGAAAGGAATTGATGAAAATAGGATACAACTAACCACCTATCTGCTTTGGTGGTTGTGGAAATCCCGCAACTTATGGGTATTTCAAAAGCAAAGACTCCCTGAGCTGTGTCTCGTTAGACAAGCTATCAGGAAATGGCATGATTGATTAGATGATCTAGGTCTGTTTAGACAGTTTTTCATCTACACTTGTTTGTGATTGGTCTGTATTAGTGTAGGACTTTAACTATGTGTTGTCTATGCTTTTATTTGGTTCTTAGACCCGCTTGAGGGGTCTCCCATTTCATGCGGTTTGTAGTTATTATTGTATTCGAACATTGTATTAGATTTTCTAGTTTTATGAGATGCCTATTGTTTCGTCAAAATAAATAAAATAAAAACATGGGCAAATTTCAGATTTCTGTCCATCACCTCACTTATAAAACTATAGAATTATTAATATAAACATACCAATAAAAAAATAAGTAAATTAAAAGACATTCACCTCTAAAATTTATATCTGGAATTGATAGCCTTTAAACTTCGTATTGATAGTTGCCCCAATTTTTGTGTCTCATACTGATAAAAACTAAATATTAAATTTATAGTTTTAAATTTTTTAGATTAATAATAGAATTTATATATCTGAGAGTCTTCAACCTTTGATAAACTAAATAAAAACTAAACACTATTAAATAAATATTACATAGATCACAGATGTACTAGTTACGAGCAAGAAACAAGCAAAAGGGACACACACAAATAAATAAAATAAAATTTTAAGTATAAAAGATCACTACCCTTTTGGTGTTAAACTTGTTTGAACGGGAGGAGGAGGAGTTTGGAAGAGACAGGGCAGTAGCAGTAGCAATGGCGGACATGGCAGAGCCTGGCCAGGAGGATCTGAAGTCCTCACGCAAAAAAAAATGGGCTGCCTTCAGAGAAAGAGAAAATGGAATGATGTTTATTATTTTAGTGAGAAAGCAATGCACCATCTCCTTCCATTTTCTGCTACATGTACAAATTTAAAAGACCAGCTGACATGGATTCGTATTGATAGAATAGACTGAACATTGTTTCGTACAAATAATAGCTACATCACATGAACAGTCTATTTCCACATGTTATTTGGTGCCATTATCTCTGTGTTTCTCCACACGTCTCTACTCTCTACCAATCGTAATTAATAATTAATTTTCCATAAATAGTTATACTGATTTTGAGAGATGTAATGGACACCAAAAGAACACAAGGGAATGATGCTTTAGTATCTCTCGGATACTTTTAAGTTTTTCTTAATTTAATATGAGTTTTGAATAAGGTTTTCAAACGCAAAACATGATGTTTACCACTATAGTAGAGTAGTTTTTTTATGTTTAATTGAAAATACAAATCTAAGTTTGTGTAGACAAACTTCCTATAAAACACGTGGGACAATTTCCACTTGATTTTTTCAATCTTATTGTTCTTTTACACATAATGGGACCACTCCCACTTGTTTTATTCGAAAATATTTAAGAATAAAATTTAAGTTAATAATATAATGAAAGAAAATATGTGAGGTCAGTAAAAAGTAGGTTTGTGAAATTTATTGTTATTGGATGTTAAATATTAATTTGACAGCGTTGGACAAATTTAAATGTTTGCTAGAAAATTTTCTTTTATGTAAGTAAAATAAATTAAATGGAATTTTGTATTTATTTACTTGTAAAATAATTAAGTTTATAGTATTTATTCTTATTAATATATGACATATATTTATTATCGTATATATTATAGAGACTTAGCCCTTTAGGACAATTGGTACATAATATNATAAAAAAGTTATTTATACCTTCATTAAGGGTAATGTGGTAATTTTCTATACATCAGCAAAATAAATGGGCCTCACTACATATTAATTGACATGTACACCTGCCAACCTACCCCATTAATCAACCTCACAACCCAACCCCACCCCACTTTCTCTCACACACACTCACGCACACAATACACAGCGAGAACTCTCCCCCTCGCACTCACATCGGGAAACTCTCTGCCACCACCTGCTGCCAGAGCCCGCCGTCCGCCGCCGCCGCTCCTCAGTCGGGCTCAACCACCGTCACACACGCACACACACAACCCGTCACACACCCAGTAAAATGCACAAAAAATCTCAGCCGGACTTAATGTCTTTGTCGCCGCTCCGACTCCCGCCGGGACGCGCCTGACTGACGTCCGCCGCTGAAAGTCCGACAGGTGCCGCATTGCTACCGGAAGTGTTGAGCTCTGAATCACCGCCATTTAACACACTGTCTCCGATGTTCCTCCACCGCAAAGCTCTGTCGCACGCCGGTCGTCGCCGCAACCATCCAATCACAGGGAATCGACGCCTCCACTGTCGCGGACGACCGGAGGACAGATCTCGACGGCGACCGTGACTGAAATTGACGCGACGCCCTCTGCAATTGGCGGCCGGCAGTGGTCGCGATTGACCGGATGCAGAGCCCCTAACGGCGGCGGTGGAACATCCCTCACGGCGGCGTTCAGTCACGGTTGACCGGATGTTAATGGTCGTCGGCAATCTAGACGCGAGGCTCGGTCATGGCGGATGTCTCCTTGATCCTGCAACTGCCCCAAAAATTAGGGATTTTGGTTTTNATGTTAAAGGGCCTATTTATAATTTTTTAATTTTTTATTTCTTAAAATAATATAACAATAAATCATGATAATAAATAAATAATATAATAAAATGATAATAAAAATTTTAATTTTTTAGATTAATTCGATGTACACTTATATATATTGAAACTAGTTTTCGAATACTAAATTCACGCACTTTATCGAGCATAATGTTGCACATTATATAACAACACATTGCACCTTATAAAGCAACATATTGCACTTTATCACCACAACCCACAATTATTGTCAACAGTTGCCACCAAAATATTATTCGATATAAAATTATAAAACATATATACATAATATTTTAATATTAATCACATCAAAAATACAGGCATGTTAACGTCAAAATTTCATTATTGCACCGTATAAATCAATATGTTGCACTTTATATAACAGTACGTTGCACCTTAAAACGACACGCTACATATACAAAAATTAGAGTAATTATTCTAATCGATCAAATAATATTAGTTGGATAAATGTCGGATTTAGTTTTTGTTTTTCAAATAAACAAAATAACCAAACATGCGAAAATATATGAAAAATATTACCCTTTTTTATTTATGTTTTTGTTTTTATGAAAATTAATAATATTTTTTATATCTCAATCTTTGTGTATTACGGTTGCACGTTAGTGTTATACGGGTTAAACTTAAATGCTTAACAGATTGCACAAAATCGAACGAGATCAACGCGTCAATTACTATTATTTTTTTTTTTATATATCGGGTACTTCGGTATGATTTATTTTTTTATTCAAATAACCAAAACAAAAAACAAACTATATTAAAAATAAAATTTTTTATATATTTTTTTTTTAGATAACCGAAATATTTGAACGATCGAACTACATAAAAATACTATTATTTTTATTATTTTATTTTTATGTATATTTAAATAATTAAAAACTATATTTGTGAACTTTATGTATATTTTTTATATCTATATTTTTGTGTATTAGGGTTGCATGTTAGTGTTATACCGGTTGCACTTAAATGCTTAACAGATTGTACAAAATCGAACGAGATCAACGAATAGAAATTCAGTATGAAATTTTATATTTCGCATCAATTACTATTATTATTATTATTATTTTTTTTATATATTGGGTATTTCGGTATGATTTCTTTTTTTTATTCAAATAACCAAAACAAAAAACAAACTATATTAAAAATAATTTTTTTTATATTTTTTTATTTAGATAACCGAAATAATTGAACGACCGAACTACATAAAAAATACTATTATTTTTTATTATTGTATTTTTATGTATATTTATTTAATTAAAAACTATATTTGTGAACTTTTACATAATAATGTGCATTTATGTAAAAACATGTCTTTATTTTTTAATGTGTATATTCTGGCATAATAATGTGCATTTATGTAACTTTATTGAGCATTAACTAAACTTTTAATATACTACAGATTGGCCTCATGTGTTAAATTGAAATAAAAAGAAACTTGAATAAATTGCAATTGAGCCCCTACAATATATCAAATTTTCAAATAATAACCCCACAATTCCTAAAAGCAATTTCAGACCTCCCCCAATACACATTCGCCGGAGCTCAGCCACCAAAAGTCACCGTCGATATGGTCACCGCCGTCGTCTTCGTCGCCCAATGCCTGAAGCCGCCACAGCCTGCCGCTAGGGCACGACAACTCCATCTGCGCAAAAGGAAAAAGAAAAACGAAAATCGACATTTTATCCTCACACATCATCACCGCCTTTGTGCGGGTACGGGAAAGGACGACGGTGGTGACGCGGCTGCGGGATCTGTGATAAACGCGCTGAAGGTTCGTCGGCTGGTGTAGCCAGAGGTGGGGACCTTCTTCTCGACGTCGGATCTGAGCATCAAAGTCAGCGATTGAGAAGATATGCACGACGACAGCGACGCGAGGGAGTAATGGGGGCAGGCAGCGATAGACGGCGGTTGGGCGAGGACGACCACACAGTCGCCGGTCGAGGTCGTCCACACAGGTCACTTGGTGAATCGGAATCTGAAAGCTTTCTACATCGACGGCATCGGGCTGGTGTCGGCGGCGATGAGGCTGGCGAGGCTGGCGAGGCTTGCGGCGGCAGTGCCGTTGACGTTCGGCGACGGCGACGGCTCCATCCAGATTGTGTGTGCGTGTGTGTCGCGTATGGTGTTTTGTGTGTGTAAGTGTGTGTTGTGTGTGTTTATGTGTGAGAGAGAGAGAGGTAGGTTAGTGGTGGTGTCCACTTGTAATGTATGATGCCTGATTTACCCCCACTTAGTGGTCTAATTTTTATAATTAACCATGTTGTGTGCATTTATTTGCGAAAATGCCAATCATATTTGCCAGTGATTTATTAAGTTTTGACTTGATCGTGTCCATTGGTTTGATCAATCCAATGATCCGGATTATTCTTATTTCTTTCACTATCTCCCTTTCTCATATGATCTCTTCTCTCCCTCCCTCTCTCTCTCTCTCTCTCTCTCTATATATATATATATATATATATATATATATATTCATTTAGCATATATGTCGCTTGTATTAATGAATTGGATTGCATACTATAATTAATTTTCTCTATTTTGTAGGAGAAAAAAGATGTGCGAGGACTATAAAAGGATGAACTGCCCACACATGGAGGATTCTAGACCTAGTCCTCGTTTTATCGTTGTTTACTTGTTGTTTGGATTATGGTGACAGTGAACTATTCGGTTTTTATAAGGAGCCATCGGATAGTTTTTCTCACGGAGCCATCTGCTTACGTGGCTCTTATATGGCATTAGGGGTGAGCATGAGTTGGTACAGTTCGGAGATTGATAAATCTCCAGAATCGTACCGGAACCGTACCAAAAAATCAGTTCGGTCCGGTTCGGAGATTTTTATTTTTCCGTTCAATTTGCTTTTCGGGACTATTGGAACGGTTTGGTTCGGTTCGAATATTCGGAGATTTTTTATCATTTTTAAATTTTTTTTGAATAACCACCTAGTTATATTTCATTTATTTATATGTTTTTTTTTTTAAAAAAATCCAACATTCATCAATACTTCATCATACTAAAGATTTTATTTTTAAATCAACTTTAGAAGTAACCCTAAATTTTAATTAACACTAAATTCAACTAACATTGAAAATTTAAAATTTAAACAAAATGTGATACAGTTTTATATTAAAGTAATATTTTTTTAACCTTCCATACCATGTTAGTTATAAGATAAACTAAGGCTAAGTATCGACAATTTTAAGTAAAGCTTAAATATATATTTTTTTTTAAATCTTTAACCTTTCATTCCATTTTTTTTAAACAGGAGAAATTCAATTGTAGATCAAGTATTACTAAACATGAAATGTAAGTGAATATTAATTGTTATTACTATATTTCATTTACATTTTAAAAATTCTCAAATTATATAGGATCAAAGTTGACATAAAATATATTAATAACACTCATCTATTTTTATAATTCGGTTCTTCAGTTCCGTACGGTACGGGACGGGTTCGGTTCGATTCTCAGTACAAATATTAATGAAATATCCAAAACCGTACCAATTACTTTTCCGTTTCGGTTCAGAGAAAGTCAAACGGTCAACGGATATTTTTCGGGTCGGAATCATAGAGGGAGAGGTCATAAGCGTCTATACCGTAAAATCGATTTTCGACTTGTGCCAGGATTAGCAGATCTACCTCGAAGAGTGATTTTGATTTGATTTTCGAAACGGTTTGGAACTCTCCAAGTCCCATGCTCAGCCCTACGTGGCATACACATGTACGTCAAAATACAACATATGTGTCATTTATAATTATTTTACAGGGGAAATTCTATTATAGGGTTTGACTTTTTGTTATTGTGTCACAATAAGGGCTGAATTTTTAACTTTTTCATTTGAGGGTTTCAATTTTAAGTTATTGTCAATATAAGGCCTACTTTTACATTCTACTTTTCAATTTAAGATTCCAAATCATTTTGTATTTTGATACAATTATGTAAACCACAATACACTTAAAAAATAAAATTATATTTTTTAAATAATTAGAAATATTTTTAGAAAAAATAATTTAATAATAAAAAATATATATTTTTTAAATAATTAGAAATATTTTTAGAAAAATTAATTTAATAAGAAAATCAATTCAAATAATAAATATTTTTAGTAAAATACTTTAAAAGAAAATTAATTTATTTAAGCTAAATTTATTTTGCATAAATGTAACTAATTTGTATTAATTTTCTTACGAAGCTTGTTTTACAAATATATTTAATACTTTTATTATAGGCGTTAATTAATTTTATATATTCTTAACATTTTAAAAAATATGAATTTTATTCACAAATAAAATTTTCTATAAGTTTATTTAAAAAAAATATTTTTTTAAATAGCTTATATTTTAATGTTATCACATATTTTGATTAAAACTAAGTTAAAAATCATTTTTTAAATTTTAAAATAAATTTCATTAAGCTTCTGCATAGATGTAAAGTGTGAAATAAATATTTTATTAGGTAATTTTATTAAAGATATTAAAAAAAATAAAAAAAATAAGAAAAAAATTACTAAAACTATTTAATATTTTTTATTATAAGTACTAAAATAATAATTTTTTTTAGAAAAGAGTATTGTGGTTTACATAATTATATCAAAATAAAAAGTGATTTAGAGTCTTAAATTGAAAAGTAGAATGTAAAAGTAGGCCTTATATTGAAAATAACTTAAAATTAAAATTCTCAAATGAAAAAATTGAATATTCAAGCCTTGACACAATAACAAAAAGTCAAACGTTACGATGAAATTTTCCCTTATTTTACATAAATAAAGGGGGAGAAAAAAATAAAAAAAAAAAACTATTTCTTCTCCAAACCGCACGATTGAAGTCCCAAAATCCCTCAAATCTTCCCATCCCTAAATTCCCCGTCGGATTGCAGTTGCAGGGCACAAACCAATTGCCACAGCATCCCCCATCGATGGTCGGGTCCACATGCTCCCTGGGCAGGCCCCGTTCTAGAACATCGCGTCCCTCATCAATCGGCTTGAACCTCGAACAGAATGGCGACGCGCTGGGATATTTCGGAGTTGAAGAATATCAGCGACCATGGTGGAGCTCGCGCGGAGGATTCGGCGCGCGGATCCGGGAGAGACCGCGTGCGGCTGGGCCTTATCTTGGCGAGCGAGGTATGTGGTGGAGCTCGGGTGGAGGATTCGGCGCCGGCCGGTCTAGAAGCTGCTTTTACGAGTTAGAAAGACTGGAACCTGATCGCTGTGGGGTGACCGGCGGCGACCTCGAACAGAATGGTGACAAGCAGGGAGCTTTTTGAGGCAAAAAAAATCAGCAACACGTGGTGGAGCTCACGCGGAGGATCCGGCGCTTGCGGGGAGATGTGCTGCTCCATGTCCAAATCGGAATGACGTCTGTTGCTTGTGGATTCCCACAGTGGAGAAACATCTAAGGATTTTTTATATCTATGCAAATACTACTTGTATTGTCAAGTGAAAAATAGATTGCTCTCAAAGGGAAATACTTTACTTTGTATGATATCTTGAAGTGCTTTGTTAAGCTTATTGCTTTTCAACATTTGTAAGACATGAATACAATCTGAATTAATTCTTTTTGGAAATGAAATAAAGTAAGCAAGACTTGTTTCTGAATCAATATGAATGAAAAGGGACCATCTGAATCAATCCACCAGTAGACTTGTTTCCTTCATGAATTATTTTCAGCAGGTGTAGCATTCAATTTCTGAATATGTTGTAGTATCTTCTTCAGAACCATACTTCCTATTCCCAAGCCTCAAGCCCGGGCCTATATCCAAACCAATGCTAGCAGGTAAAAAATCATGCTCCCCTAAAAAGCAGAGCTAACTCATATAATCAACTCACTACTTCATTTCATACACACACACACTAGAAAATTCAGAACAAATGCTCCTAATCAACAGCAATCACCACACAATGAGACTAGTTTTTCGCACTACAAGCAACAAAATCTGAAAACGCCAACGACGTTAAGACAACAAAATTCTAGAACAAACATAAAAATTAACAGAAATGAGATTGAATAGATGTTAAGAATGTGCAGCTGATAATATGATGTAATGATAACTGAAAAACAAATCTAAAAAACACAATAAACTTCAAAAATATTTGTTCTAACTCACACAGCAAAACATATGAATATAAAGTACTTTTTTCATTCATCTTTGTTCCAAATACTCCAGATAAAATAGCAACAATCAAAATACTAAAAAGTAACAAAAATAAATTAATGTTTCATTAAAAACAAAGCCATTCATATAAAAAATGACTAACTACTAAAATAAACATCTCAAACATCAGAGCAACTGGAGTTTGTCACTTTTGATATGTTTGGACGATATGAATCATCTTCAAGGTGAATGTTATGTGATAGGTCGAAAAATGTGCGTATTTTGTATGTTTAATAGTGTATTTTTATATACTTATATTTATTCGCACGTTTATATTTTTCGGCTTATTTATTATTTGGATGGATACATATACATTGATGTTTTATGTATTATTTTTCAGTATATTAGAGTATTTTTGCGGATGACGAAGCTGTTGACGAGAGTTCAAGTAACATTTATCGGCGTGCCCAAATACCAAATCGAGTAAGGCCCATTAAGGCTGGCAGCCCATTAAGAAAATTTGGAGCCCATAATTTTGCTGATTCACGTAAATGGAAATATGTTTTGACCAATCAATTATGATTGGTTGAAAGTCCATCTTGCCTTGATTTATTTGGGTAGAAGAATTAACATATGGGGAGAGAGCAATTATTTTGGAGGAGTTTTATTGGTTTGGGGAACTAATTATTTTGCGAGAATAAATGGCGAGAAAAAGAAAAAGTCCGAGGAAAAACGCACAGAAAACTCACACACGAACATAGAGCAATATCCGTACCTACAGGCTACACACGTGGAGGGAAACTGCACCTGCATACGAGGGAGATAATTAATCTCTCTCTTTTATTTATGTCCGCTAGTTAGGTTTAGTCGAAGAGCTTATTTCGACTAAATATTCAGTAAGGGAAAATTCGGTTAACAGAGCTTATTGTTAGCTATGGTTGATAATTCATTAGCAATTTAAAGAAGGCGTCGAAATTAATTAACGGTAGATTTAGATTGGGTGATAAATGAACTGAAAACTGGGCTTCTCTTATTTTATTTGATTTTTATTTTATTTTTTAATTTTTATTTTTATTTTTAATAATTAATCCCCTCATCTTTATCGCTTTCATAGTTTTAGTTCGATTAATACGAAAATAATCACAATTTAACTCACCACTACTACTAGTTAGTAGAGATTAGTTGTAGAAAACTTTATAAATTTAAATTTGCCGTGTTGCGACGCGCGGTCATTATGACTTGGACATTTGCGCTTGTCATGGCCCCTCTGCCCACACAAACTACAAGATCAAACACTTTGAGATATGGCTTTCTCTTTACTCGACTTTAGACGTTTGCCACAACCTTTAGTTCGTATAGGCTCGGAGTCACATACAATAAGCGTCTATTTGCCTTTGTTTTTACTCAATCACTTGCTCATGCATTTCTTGTCATCACTCTCACCAACCTCCCATTTCAAAATTTTGATCTTTTCCATCAGAAACTTGCTTCTCGCCTCAGTCAACGATGCATCATCGATGAGCTCTCTCGTTATTTTTATCAGCGCCCCACGTCTACTTGCAAAGATTCACCAACTTCAAAGTCAAATGGCGTATAATAAATAAGGTTACTCTTTGCATTCTTCGTCCACCTTTTCTTCACGTACTAACATTACTTCTTCAACTCTCATCCAACATAGCATGTGTCGACAAGGGTACCCTTCAAACTCAAATTTTTGACAGCTACACGCTATAAAATCTTTAGGGACATCATATGTCAAATATCGCCGACGTTTAGTATTCATTTCAATATCAAACCGCCAATCTTCATAAACTCGGGAATCGTTTGAACCGAGACCATTTTGCATATATAACTCGCACTTTCTTAGAACTCTTTTTGGAATAACAAAAATATAGACTTCGTGTAATCTCTGTCATCTGCTTTTCCATAGCGAATGAGGTGTTGATCAGCGGTTTTTCATTTAAGTCAACATGAATAGCCATAAATTCTTCATTTAAGTCAACATGTTGTCCTATCAAAGGCTTGACCGACGAATCAACCTGTGGTATGAACGCTTCATCTTGTTCAATCTCCATCCTACGTAAATAAATATATTGAATGTCATAAATAATAAAAACAAATTCAAAATATTGACAAAAAATTTGATATTTAATATTATTTGTTCTAGTTTCATTGTAATAATATTTTGTTAATAATGACATGAAGAAAAAAATATAAACTTGCAAACTTAGTGATTGGTCGGAAAAAGTGTGTATATTATATATTTATTAGCGTATTTTTATATGCTTAATTTTTATCGCACTTATATGTTTTTCGACTTATTTATTTATTAGATGGATTTGAGTGCTATGATATTTTTATGTATTGTTTTCAGACTATTGGGCTATTTTTATGGGCGGCGAGACATTAAAAGAAATTTCATCCAGCACAGTACGGGGTGCTCAATTTCAGCCAGCACAGTAAGGGGTGGTCCATACTCGGCCCAACATATGTCAAATAAGTTTGGGCCTAGTTTGTCTTTTAGTAGGGCCCACTTGAGGGCTTATTTGAATTCACTCAGCCACTTGAAAGGGCATTACGCAGCAACATGGAAAGAATTATTTACTAGAAGGAAACAATTAAACATTGAGAGGACTCTTGAAAATAAATAAGTGGAATTTAGTTTGAGGGATCCACGTATCCATCAGGGCATATTTTACGCCACACGCAAAAAGAATCAGGGGGGATTTATTTACACGTACGCCTGGAAGAAAAAAAAAAAGAAAGAGTTGCGCAGAGGAGGAAAAAGACGCGGACAGATAGGAGGAGCCCGATCAATCGCGGAGGGAAGCCGCACCGCACACGAGGGAGATAATTAATCTCTCTCTTTTATCTTTTTATTTATTTTTATTATTATGTTAGAGTAGTTTTTATTTCTAGTTCCGGAGAAGTCGAACCCTATGATTGACTATGTTTTGATTGATTATATGGTTGATGATTTTAATATCTTTTTGGAATTGCTTGTGTTATTTTGAATAATTCACCATGATGTGTTAGTCTTGTTTAGATTGATCACCTAGATTAGGCTTTTCATATCTACATCTGAATTAGACCTCCAATCTGTAATTGTTGTTGTGTTTAATTCATAAGAGGTAACCGAAAGATGGTAACTACCGGGGATAACACGGCCTAATTAAGTGAACGAACGCGGTTGAGTTCACTAATTAGTCTAGCCTATTTTTCTAATTCGTAAAGCGGCTAATTGTATTAAATCTTGAAAACGTTTTTCTGGACTGTACAAGAAGTCAGGTTTAATCGTCGAGCGTCTCGCGGTTAAATTAAAAATAAGGAAAAATTTGGGTAACAGACCATGTCGTTGCCTAGGGCTAGTAATTTTATAAGATAGCGAGATTTGATTCCAAAGTTGATTAGACGAGTCAGGCGAGGGTGTAGACAGAACCGTGAACTAGAAAGTTCTCTTCATTTATTATTTTTATTTTTATTTTCATTGTTTAGATTTTATTTGCTTCGTTAGGATTTTAGTTAGTTGAGTTATTAATTCAAAATCNAAAAAAATATGAACTTGAAAATTAGTGGATTAAATAATTTAATTACCTGCTTCGGAGATTGTGGTGCGTTTTTTGTGCAAAAGTAATTTTTTTTTTTTTTCCTTTTGGTGGCTGCCAGAGGAGAAGCCGTCGTGAGAAGAAGAAGTATCGTTCGTCACTTTCTTTTCTTTTCTTTTTATTTTTTCCCTTTATTTATGTAAAATGATAATAAATGACACATGTGTTGTATTTTAATATACATGTACACGCCACATAAGAGCCACGAAGGCAGATTGCTCCGTAAAAAAAAAATCCAATGGCTCCGTAGAAAAACCGATGAACTATTAATCTATTCTGTAGGACTTATTTTATTATTTGCATGATGCTCTGGACTTTTTAGATAACCTATATTTTATTTAGTGTGTGATGTTCTAACTTTGAAGATTGAGATGTGTTCTAGGCCTTATGTTCGAACATTGTTATCTACTTGTTTGTTGTCTCTTGTCGTTGTTTTTCAGGTCATTTTCAAGATATGATTTTCGAACTGAATGCCAAAGGGGGTGATAATTGTAAGATTTTATTTTAGCAAAAAGTTATGAAAATGACATAATGTTCTAGGCAAGCAAGGAAAAAAAAGGAAGATCTACATTCTCTCTCATTCTTTCATTTATATTTCGATTGTATTCTATTTGATATGGAAAGTTTTTTACATAATTATAAGTGTTGTTCCTATAATGTGTGTTTTTGTTTGGTACGAGATCTTGCATTCAAAGGAAAAGGAAGTTGATCGAAGCAAAATGGACATGAAAATCTCAACTTTCATACATGTAGATCTCGGCCTTAGTTGGAAATTTAAAGAAGGAAGGAAATCCACTCCAAAAGGAAGAATGCTTGAAGACTCCTTGCATTGAGGAGATTGTATATATACTTTCACAAATACTCATTTGAAGGGTGCTGAAATTATAGGTGCTCATCATATCTGAAGACTTCTTTTGAGTGTTTGTGAGATTTGTTTTCGAGTTCTTTTATGAATAGTTTTTCAGTGTTTGTACACCACTGAAGAATTGTGTTTTCTTTTCTTATCTTCGCAAACACTTTTCATACTTAGGAATTAAGTACTGGGATAGCTGTGAGGGATCCTTAGCAAGTTCGAAGGCCACAAGATTATGGCCAGAGGATTAGTTAATAGGTTCGGGTATAGTGCTTGCTAGACTAGAAGGGAGTTGGGTCTTGTAAGTCCAATGTGTGCGCCAACCGAGTTATTAATGAAATATATATGAAAGATAGTGAAACACTCCCCGAAGAAATTTTTTAATTAATTGCTTCCGCTTTTATTTTTGGTGTTCGAAAACTATTGCGTAGTCTACTTTACTCCCCATACACGTTTCAGTGGGATATTGCTAGCTATAGGAAATTCATACTAAATGTTTTGGGAGATATTGGAATGCTCAGCTGTAAGCAGACACCTACACCATTACCACATGGTATTAAACTGCAAATGGGTGAAGGTATTCCACTTGACCAACGAGACAAGTTTAGGAGATTGATTGGTCGATTGTTGTAATTGAATGTGACCAGGCCTGATGCGACTTATGTTGTACAACAACTAAGTCAGTTTGTTAATGATCCAAGGAGCAGTCATTGGGATGTAACATTACATGTGCTTAAATACCTGTTAAGGACAACTGATTTTGGAATATTTTTCCCTAAGGGACAATCTTCTAAGTTGGTGGCTTATAGTGATGCGGATTGACCGTCTTGTAAAGATGACCAGGAGGTCAACTACTGGTTATTGTGTCTTCTTAAGAGGAATATGTTGGATATCTAGGAAGAGCAAGAAGCAACAAACTCTCTACAGAAGCTGAGTATAAAGCCACGAGCACCACGGTGGCCGAATTACTTTGGATCTCTTATGTTGTTGCAGATCTTCAGCTGGATCTTGATTATCCTATCCCACTTTGGTGTGACAAAGCAGCGATTCACATAAGTGCAAATCTGGTGTTTTATTAGAGGACAAAGCACTTCGAAATTGATAGTCATTTCATGAGGGATAAATTCAAGTAAGGTTTTGTTGTTCCTCAGTATGCTGCTACCACTATGCACCTGACTGATTTTTTTACTAAGGTGGTCACAAGAAAGCTTTTTCGCCGGATGATTTTCAAGTTGGCCATGCAGCAATTAAACTACCCCTGCACAACTTGAAGGGTGTTGTTTCTATTTTTTTTGTTTGTAGACGTTAGTGCCTTTGTTCTCTTCTTCAGCTGAAGTCGTGTTGCTTTATTTTGTGTTTTCTCTTTTACTAGAATTAAGTCAAAACGACGTCGTTTCATTAAGTGAATACAACGTCATTTCGTTTTGTTCTATGCATTAGTATATGGATATGTATATATCGTATACGTACGGTAATTTTTTTAGCTAACTGAAATAAAAATAGACTTTTCGCCAAATTTCTTTTTGTTTCAACAAAGTTGTTGGCGACTGCTCGATTTTGACCGCATGGCGGCTCTTGCTCGAGCTGTGGCGGCGGTGGTAGGTCAGCACAACTGGGAGCAGAGGGGGAAAATCGGTGTGGGGAGTGAAAAGGATCCGAAACATGATCACAATGATCGAATCAGATTTGGGGCAAAGGAGGGAATATCAATCCGGTATAGGAAGATCTAAGGGGTGAGTTAACTACCGTTAAGAAGTCATTAGTCTACACAACAAATTAATGATTAGAATTGGACTTCACATCTCCAATTTTAAATAGTGGAACTCATTCAATCCAATTTATATATATATATATATATAACTTTTGTTACTAAAATAATTTACTTTTGTACACAATATCCAGCCATCCACATCACAAACAATCCCAAAAGGAGTAACGATTAAGAAATTTCGAATGATACTTCAATTACCGAAACTTACATTGTACACGAGGAGCCCACAACGCTAATTAATTATTTCAACCAGATNGAACAACACAAGTACAATAAAATAAAAACCCTAAACTAGAGCTCCTCTCACACACTGTCCCTAAGATATCAACACTCGATCACGCCTTCAAACTATTCCCCACGTCAATGACAAACCTGTACTTGACATCCCCTCTGGCCAGCCTCTCCATGGCCGTGTTGATATAATCCATGGATATAACCTCAACATCCGGCACAATATTATGCTTGGCCGCAAAATCGAGCATCTCCTGCGTCTCCTTAATCCCCCCAATCATGCTCCCGCCAATCATCTTCCTCTGCGTGGCCAGCGCGAACATGGGCAGCTCCAACGGCTTCTCCGGCAGCCCCACCACCACCAGCTTCCCGTGCGGCTTCAGCAGGCTCAACAGCGACTGGATCGAGTGGAAAACCGATATAGCGTCCAGGATTGCGTCCAGCGTCCCCTTTGCCTGCTCCAGCTCGTCGGGCAGCAAGAACTGGTCGGCCCCCAGCGTCTCCAGCGCGTACGCCCGCTTCTCCGGCGAAATGTCGATCACCGTCACGTTAACCCCAAACGCCTTGAGGAACTTCACGGCCAGGTGGCCCAGCCCGCCCAAGCCCGCCACCCCC